TTTTTAGGGGAGGGTCTACAGGGTGTTCACAGTTTCACTACTAGATCAGACTCGTAGTGATCCACCTGTTTACTGCCTCCCAAGAGCTGGGATTACAGGCACGCACCACCACACCTAGTCTCAATTGCTGTCTCAGCACGCCCTGGGGGTGGGGCCAGCAGAGCAGGCCCGGGGAATGAACCCTGGTCCCTGCGCCTGCTTGCAGGGGCTTTAATCTGCTGAGCTATTTGGCTGGCCCTTGCAAATTTAAATATTGCATTGTTCACCTTCTGTGAGAAACTCTTAAAGGTTAATAAGGAACAAAACAGGATAGATACCAAAAAGTCGGAAGAACATGTTGGAAAGTAGAAAGAACATGTTCCAGTGTTCAAAGGGGAATAAGGAAGGTGGGAGGGAATAGAAAGGAGAAAAACAGGATTTTAAAAAGAGAACAGAAGTAAAACTATGGAAAGAAAGCTTTTGTAAATGGGGAGGAGAAGAAAGGTTGTATGGAGGACGGGAATGGCAAAAAGAATTAAGGTATGTTACGCACAGGTACAAATTCTCTATGATGAATGTGATCATTATGCATGGCAAATACATAACCTTTTATTCTTTACTTCTTCCTTTTATTTATAAAAACAAGGATAAAAGAAAAAGCTCAAAGAGGGACACATCAGCTAATAAAATGAATAAAAAGGAAACAAAGTTAAAAAACCTAACAGCAAATAAGTATTTGGAATGCACAGGTTAAAGTGGATTACAAATAATAGAAGAAAACTAGCTGAACTTAACAGTTAAGGAAACAACATTTTATATTTATTTATTTATTTATTTATTTATTTATTTATTTATTTATTTATTTATTTTGGTGGAACCAGGGATTGAACTTGGCCCTTGCACTTGCCAGGGAAGCGCTTATTCTACTGAGCCATCTCCCCGGCCCAGGAAACAACATTTTAATATTCATTACCTGCTTCATACCGCATGACAAGTTGGGTAACAAAATCAAAATACATAGCAGACTTTTTCACAACCCCTTGAAGAGGAAGAATTCAGAGGAGGAGCTACTTTCATTTTCTGGCAGGATCAGTGTGGAGAACAGCAAAGTTAAATGGAGCCTTTGTTCTAGGTTTTTAAGGAATCTCCACACTGCTTCACTGTGGGGTGACTCCAGGAACAACTCTACAGATCCATCAGCACAGCGGTGGTCACGTGGCCTTAGATTTCTGCAGCTTGGCATTTCACATTGCCTTCAGGTACCGAATGTATCTGGATCCGAATAGCTCCACAGTGAAGACAAGGACTTCTCTGGTCAATCTTGTTGGATGGTGTCTTAGTTACTTTTCTTGTTGCTGAGATCAAATGCCCAGCACCCAAAGTTTAAGGGGGAAAGGTTTATTTAGCTCACAGTTTGTAGAGGTTTCAGTCCATAATCTGCTGGCTCCAAGATGGTGGCACATGGCAGAGGGGCTACAGTTAATGGTGGAGGAAGACAACAAAAGCAATAAAAGGAAGCACAGGAGGGAGGAAAAGAAAGAGAGGGAGAGAAAGAGAGAAAGAAGGAAAGAGGGAAGGGGGTGAGAACAAGCAAGCTTCTTCCTCTCCATTATACTGTATTTGGGCTACCCACCCTAAGTGTAGCTCTCACACCCTTAATCCCAGCATTGGACCATGAATCAATCACAAACTCCAGATTCAACCACCTCCTAGAAGCCTGCCCCCCAAGACTACATGAGGCTTTGTAGGGACACTCAGATACAAACTCCAACAGGCGGACACAGTGGGAAACTCGGCACCCCTGCCACTTGGAGTGCAGCACTTGGTTCCAGTTGGCTGGCATGGCCCCAGGTGCCTTTTCCTGGGTCCAGATTTCCTTGGCTTCTGGGCTTTGCCTCCTCTCATAGCCAGGAGCAGATGGAGGATTTGCTAGCCATGCAGGGACAGCAGCACATGCCACCCCAAACCCTCAGCCACAGCCACCATCTTGTACCCTTGGCAGCTCCAGTCCAGTGCTCAGTACTTTTGCAATTTTGATTAAAGTATGGCATGGTAGGTTCTCTGCTGATCAGGCCAGTTTGGGGTTGTAAATGCCTCTTGTAACCTGGATGTCTACATCTTTCTGAAGGATTAGGAAATGTTCCATTATTTTACTAAATACATTTTTTGTACCTTTAGTCTTGGAACACTCTAATAATAATCATACTTCATAAATTTTGACTTTGAAATAAATATAAATTTTTGCCACCTTAAAAAAACCTGTGTTTATGGTGTCTTCACAATGTCATTTTATACACACACACCCTTTTTTCGACAAGGTCTCACTGTCAGTTCAAGCTGGCCTCAAACTTACAGTGCATCTGCCTTAGACTCCCAAGTGTTGGGATTGCAGGCATGTACCACTGCCCCCATATTTCCACTGCCTTCTGAAGGAAGGTGACATGTCCCAGTTTTTCTCCACAGTCCCAATTTAGCTGTCTTGGCATAATAATTCAGGATTAATCGTGCATCGCTCCACTCTTTAATGTATCTGGTTTGGATGACGAATTACACCATTGCCTCCCTCAGGGGTGGTTCAGGGCCCTGAGCTTTCCCAGCAGAACCCCTCAGCCCACGTTTCCCTCCCGCTTTCTCCACAGTCCTCCCTCAGAGGCAGGGAGTATCCCTTCTGATTTCTGGGCACTGGGACAGGCAGATGGGTAATCAAAACCTGTGTCATCCCAGCAGGCTCCTCTCAGAGCTGTCTCCACACACCATGGAGAAGGGCCACCTCTGGCCCTTAGGAGGGAGGGCAGGACCCACGCAGGACACAATACACTGCCATCTCATGCCTCCCGCTGTTGAGATCCCATCTCTGCGCCTCCAGGGACACTAGGCCAAGCCCGAGCCCAACAGAAGTGCTCCCTTGAGGCAGTGGCACTGGCTTGAGCAGGTCCCTCAGAGGCAGCCACAGGCAGATCTTTGGATGAATAAAATGAAACTTTATTCTCATATTGTGGGAAATCTTTTTCGAAATAGGAACTGCTATCTGACTCCAAACCTCCTGATACTTCAAACACCTAAAAGGTTTACTTTTGTACAACTATATAAATATTTTCAATTCTATATATGCATGTGATGCTAATGGTCCTAAAAGTTTGAAAAATCAACAGAGATTCTTTAGAAAATCATTAGCCTAACTCCAAAGCAAGAACTATTACCCGAGCAAGAATACAGAGAGGACAGAATGGGGATCAGTAGTGAGAAAGGAATGGCAGAAAAGGAAGGCTGTGCTCAGCAACACACAGCAAAACCCTGGACGTGGATCTAAGACACAAACCCCAGCAAGAACTATATCATATGCAAAAACTGAAACTGACCATCCAAGTGAAGGTGAAAGGATCTCATGACCACTGCATTTGGAGTTGGTACAGTGAGCATACCACCTGGAAGGTGTGCTCTTCCAAGAGCAAAGACTTATTTTTTCTTCTTTTCTCTGTATTTGGTACAGGGTCTACAGGGTCTCACTACATAGATCAGGCTCATAGTGATTCTCCTGTCTTCAGCCTCCCAAACCCTGGGATTACAGTAGTGCACCACCACGCCCAGTCTTGATCCTGGTCTCAGCACACCCCAGGCCAGGGCCGGCAAGCTGGGGATCAAACCCTAGCCGCTGCACTCTGCCGAAGCAGGTGCTTTAGTCCACTGAGCTATCAAGATGGTCCTTTTTTTCTATTTTATTCTATTGAGCAAGCTGGTTAGGCTGCAGCAGAATTAGGGAAAGGCCTTCCAAGCCAGCAGGAATGGCGTGTACGCCAGCTGTGTGCTCGCAGCCGAGACTCGCAGCTCTCTCCCTTTCCTTGCCTGTAAAGTGGACAGTAATACCTACCTTGCTACTTCCCTGGGGGGATTAAAGGTAATCTACAGAAAGTACTAACACCGCCCCTGGCAAATAAGTGACAATAAATAAAATACTGCGAGTGTGAGATCCAGGTTTTCCCTTGGAGTAATCTGATGCTGCCACCCTGCGCCCAGACAGTCTGGTCAATCATCCCGGACTTCAGAGACTCTAACTCAGCCCACCCTGCCCCTCCAAAGCCACATTACCACAAGGGCCCCTGGAGGCTAAAAGCAGAGATTTCTGACTCATAAAACGCAGGTGAGACTACAGTCCCTGAAAGGCAGGCATGGGGCTGGGGCCCGTGGCCAGAGGTAGAGGTGATGCACTGCTGGGTCCCACTCAAGGATGAGCAGTGACAGGCACGGGCGAAGCAGCTGTGGTGCTGGTGAAGGAGAACCCAGACGCTAAGCTACTGAGTCGACCTGAGCTACTTAACAGCCCCAGATTATTCTACCCTTGCAACTGGCAGCCAGTTGAGTTGCTCAGCGTGAAATGCTGTGAGCATCCAGCCCTTCCCTCAGGTCGGAAAGATGACACTGCTGCGTGGCAGGAAGGTGTAAACAATTCTACGGCCCAACTAGAGCATCAAGCAGCTTGGTCCAATTGGGAATCTGGAATAATGCCACAGCAAGGGTGTGATGCCTGCAAAGTGACGAAAATCTGCTTTCTATGATTGAACACGCACGGAAAGAGCCTCAGAAGTTGAGGAAATGTATTCAAGACTTGAACTGGCAGCAGCAGAACATGCCACTCACAGCTGCATCTAAAATGAGAGAAATGGAGTCAAGTGGGGTACACCTGGTCAGTAAGAATTATAAGACTTAGCGGACTGTTGCACAACTGGAAAATGAAACCTATCAATGAAGCAGCAGCAGTGAGAGGCAAACGAAGAAAACATCAGGCAAACTTCTGAAAAGACTAACTTGCTGGGTAGAAAGGCAGGAAATTCGGACCCTCACAAACATCAGCTATCCAAATTTTCTCTGAGCTATGAAGGACAATAGCCTCTCACAAAACCCATTAGTGGGGTAAATGTTCAGAAGCCACAGAATGGATGGATTTTTCCTATGAATTGTATCTGTATATTTTTGTGAAATAAAGATTATCAACTTGGGGATATTTTTATAGCTGTTTTTTTTTTAAAGCAGACACCGCCCTGGTCTGCTACCCCCCCCCCCCCCGGGGTGTCACACACAGGGTTCACATGGAGAACCGCCGTCCTCTCACAGGACATTCCACCAGGCACACATGCTGGGGATCCAGAGACCCTGGGCCCTGGTATCTGAGGTAACATGGGGGTCCCTGAGCACACGACCCCCACAGAGAACCTGTGCCCACACCACAGGCTATGCAGGAGCATACAACTGTCCAGGCTCATGAGCCCCAGTGCCTCAAAGGAAGCTGAATTCAGATTCCTGATCAGAATCAGAGGCCTTGCTCTAGCAGGACAACAGCAGCAGAGGGACTCTGCAAGAGTCACCCAGCAACAAAGTGGGCTCTGGGTGTGAAGGGGGTGCAGACAGGGAGCAGGCTCAGGCCAAGCACATGGGCCAGAGCAGAACAGAAGCCAGAGGGTAGCAGTCTTGCTTCTGTGGGAAGGTCACCAAGCACACAGAAGGGGAGAAAAGAAAGAGACGGTGCTGGTAGACAGCAACAGGTGCATTTGAGATAACACTGGTCTCAGACACCCATGAGGTGCACAGACTTTGCCCAAGACGGCTTCACAGCCAGCTCTGTGAAGAGGCTCATGCGATCCTAGCAAGCCTGTTTATTCTTCAACTAGTGCTCCCAGGTCCCATAGGCAGAGGTCTGTGAGGAGCACTGATTTCCTCTCTGCTTCTGCAGTCCAAGCAGCTTCTGTGCCAACAGCATGGGGAGGCCAGGATCGAACATATGAGTCCCTGTACCAGCAGGACCCATAAACGTCTGTCCTACTCAGCCCCTGCTGATGGTACCTCAGCAAAGCCTAGAGTTGCAGTGAAGAATGCTGGGACACTCAAAAGAATAAGAGGTCCCAAAGTTGGGCAAGCTTCACCCCCATGTGTCGTCTGTATCATGCTTGGCTCATCCAAAGACAGCAGATGTGAGTTCCCGGAGGAGCCAGCCTTGGTCCACCCTACACCTGCACTCCTAGAGCTTTTACATGTACTGCTCCTCATCCCTGTCATTGAGGAGCAGAGACCACTTGTCCCTGCCATCATCCATGGTGCCACTGTGTCGAGACAGCCTATCGGATGTCAGGGAGGACAGAGACACCTGGCTGACGTAGCTGACTTGGTCCCACGGCGTCGGCCTGGGGGAGTCTCGCCGCCTGTCATCCATGCCCACATGCACGCTAACCTGGGATGCACTCAGGGGCTTCATGCGGCCATGGGCCTGCACCTCGTACCTCTCCAGGTCGGGCTTCCTGTAGCTGGAAGGCAAGAATCCAAGGGCATGTGAGGCACTCTGCACCTAAGGCTCCCCATTCCTTTTTGAAGCCTGATGAAAACCTGTCAAGCTGGTTCTTCTACCCCATACTGTATCAAAACCTGATAGCTTTAAAAAGAAAAGGAGGGCTGGGAAGACGGCTCAGTAGAATAAGCGCTTCCCTGGCAAGCACAAGGGCCTGAGTTTAATACCCGGTTCCATCAAAAAATAAAAAGAGGGGCCGGGGAGATGGCTCAGTAGAATAAGTGCTTCCCCGGCAAGCACAAGGGCCTGAGTTTAATCCCCAGTTCCACAAAAAAAATAAATAAATAAAAAGAAAAGGACACTGAAGTCTGATGTTCAAGAAAAGTCCCCATGGTCAGAAATCTCCTAGGCAAATACCGTGAACACAGGCTGCCACTAACTCTTGCTAAGTGCTGGGCATGGTGGCACACACCTGTAATCCCAGCACCTGGGAGGCTGAGATGGGCGGATTGCTATGAGTTTGAGGCCAGCCTGACTACACAGTGAGTTCTAGGGCAGCCTGGGGTACAGAGTAAGACCCTGTCTCAAAAGAAGACAAAACAAAACAAAAAACAAAAACCTTTGCTAAGCAAATGTATAAATGAATATTTTTTTTTAAAAAAAGACAAAATAACACACAGGGATCCCGTGTCTACACGACATCAGCATAGATGGCCACCAAGTGCGAGAGTGAGACCAGCCCAGCACACGGCAGCCAGGGAGGGCAGACACCACACTGCTGACTGGACGCTGCTCAGCGCAGGGGTGAGGCGCTGGAGACCCCCAGGCAAGTGCTCCTGGCCCCGGACTCACCACTTGAGCTGCAGGGAAGACAGCACCACAGACACGGAGGAGGCCGCCATGGCCGCCGAGCCCATCCACGGCTGCAGCACAATGCCAATGGGCATGAAGGCACCTGCAAAGGGAGGGCATGTGCTCACCTGCTCTGGGGGAAGGCAGGGGCCCCACCTGCACCACCCCGAGGAGCTCCCTCCTCGGGTGCCCAGAGGACCTTGCCCCCATCCTGAGGTAAGGCCATCAAGGGCAGTGGGTGCTGTCCAGAGGAACTGGGCTTCTACCTGCTCTGCCTGACTAGGCACGGAGCACTGCCTGGCTCAGGCAGCAGGAACCACAGTGATAGGGAGAAGCAGGCACAGAGGGAGAAAGGATAGCAGCAGAGGATCCCACTGCCCCAGAGACTCATGGAGATAAACGTTGCCATAGCCACAGGCCTTGTCTATGCAGATGTCTGCCCAGTGGAGCTTCTTACCACCATGGAAGAGAGAAATGAGAGCCAGGCCCTGGGCAGACAGGAGACTAGCCAACAGATGATCACTGTGTGTGGCAGAGGTGCAGCCAGAGGAAGGAATTAAGCTTCTGAGCTGCCTCTGGGGCAAGAAGAGCACCAGCCTGACTCGAGGGTCTGGAGAATAAGGTAGGTGTGACAAGCCCTGTTACAGGAGCTGCCACTAACCATTTGGACACAACAGGAAAACTGCGACAGGCAGGTCTTATTGAAAAACTTTAGCTGGGGATATAGCTCAACTGTACAAGCACCTGCCTGGCAAGTGCAAGGTCCTGAGTTCAATTCCTGACACCAAAAAGGAAAAAAGAAAAAGGAAAAGTGGGACCTGATCCCTCTGGTGGAGAGGCAGTGACAAGGTCCCAGCCCCAGCATCTTAAGAACTTTAGGTACCCTCAGCCCGTGCGGAAGTGCTGCTGTGCACAAGCGTCTGGAAGTCTCCCTGTGTGGATCACAGGATTCAAAGGCAGAGGAGAGAGAGGAATCACAAAGCAGGAAACTCACTCCACTTGTGTGAGTCAGAGTAAAACCTGGACATTCGTCATTTTCAGGACGAGGTTCTGCAGCGCCCTCCACTGTGTCCAGCACCCATAACTCTCCTTCATTGTTATTCTTCAGACTGTATGTCTTAATAAGTGGTTCAGGAAAGAGCAGCCACAACAAATAAGTGGCCACGCACCCTGACCAGCTTCTGAGAAAGCATCAGAATGAAGCTCTGGGTCTTCTCAGCAGTTTCTCATTTACTTCTAGTGACATATAGAGCAGGAACAAAACCAACGTTTTGACACTCACTGCGCCTAGCCAGCCAGCTGGGGAGAGGAGCAGGTCACCAAGCTCAGCAGGGACCTGGCAGAGAAAGAGCTGTCCGATGCCAGGGAGATCAAAGGTGACATACTAGGGGAGAGCCCCAGCCTACCTGCAGCAATGGGTATCCCCAGCATGTTGTAAATCAGTGCCAGCACCAGGTTGACGCGGATCCTGCGGACGGTTCTCTTGGAGAGGTGAATGCTGGCTACCACGTCCAGCAAGTCGTTCTAAGGACAGAAGTGTGCTGCATAAGGGGCCTGGCCACTGCCCCCAGCCCTCTTCACCGCTTGGATGTAGTCAAACTCACTCTGATGAGAACCACATCTGCAGCCTCGATGGCAACATCTGTGCCGGTCCCGATGGCAATGCCCACATCGGCTTGGGCCAAGGCTGGGGAGTCATTTACACCGTCTCCCACCATGGCAACTTTCTTCCTTTCATTCTGGAGCTCCTGAACCTTGGCCACCTTGTGAGAAGGCAGGACTTCCGCAAAGACTTTGTTGATACCAACCTAAAGGGAGAAGAAATTATACCCGTGTTGGCAAAAGATGCCGAAAGCAGGATAACCAAGTCACCCTTGTCCCTCTCCCCTCTGCATCCAGGTCCAGGCAATCATCTCAGTCAACCAAATCCTGTAGACTCAAGGTTATAGGGCAAATGGACTGCATGCCCCCCCGCCCCCCAGCTCTTTCTCTGCCAGGTCCCTGCTGAGCTTGGTGACCTGCTCCTCTCCCCAGCTGGCTGGCTAGGGGGGGCATGCAGTCCATTGACTATTCCCTGGCTTAAGCTACCTGTTGGTCTGCCCTTCCCAGCCTGGCTACCCAACTCTTCTGCATGTTAGTCAGCCATTAGGTTACATTGCTAGGGTGCTTCAGTTCTCCAGTGGATCCTGAGGATGACATCTAAACTCTCAGGGGTCTGCCTTCCATGATCCACCTACATCTTGCTTCTACTGCCTGGCCTGCAGCTGGTGCCCCACCCAAGACTGTACTGCTGGGTAGTAATGGCATCTATGACCCCCGAACCACTCAGCACCCTGGGGTGCACTCTTGCTAGGAAAGGTTCAGGCTCCTCATGCTTCCTCCTATTTCATCTGATTGACTCCTGACTCAAGCAGCCCCTCCCCTGAGAAGCTAAGCCTGCCTCTGCCAGGCTAAGGGGAGGTTACTCCTTGGCAGCCCTAGGCCCCCTGCATACTTTCGTAATTTTAAAGGAGAAAGGTATCATTGGCCCCCAGCCATACCTGGGTGGCGATGGCTCTGGCTGTCTTTCGGTTGTCTCCTGTGATCAGGACCACATCCACACCCATGCTCTTCAGTGTGTGCACCGCCAGGGCAGCCTCTGGCTTGACAGAGTCTGCGATGGCGAACATCCCACAAAGCACACCTAGAGCAAACCCCACATAGTCAGCAAAGGCGCAGGGTGGCATGCAAGATGGGAGGATTTGCAGCAGTTCCCATCATACAAGGTTATATACAACAACAAAGCACCAAAGTATGTAACACGTTATGGTTTAGGTGCTGGAGATATGCAGAAATCTGAAAGGAGATTGAGAATTCATGATGGCCACCTGAGGGGGAGAACTCTGAATGATTTCACTGTATTCTTTTTATTTAAAAAAAATATTTTATTTATTTATTTGGCACAGGGTCTTGCTACACAGCTCAGACTTGTAGTGACCCTCCTGTCTCAGGCTCCCCAGTGCTAATATTACAGGCATGTGCCACCACACCCAGTTTCTGTGGCTGGCATGGTGTGCCCAAGGTTCTGGAGCTGGCATGGCATGTGGTACTGGGGATCGAACCCAGGTCCTTGAGCTTGCCAGGCAGGCACTTAGATTGCTGAGTCATCTCCCTAGTCCTCCACTGTATTCTTTATAACCCTCTAAATTTTCCCACCAGTTTTACACATTACTTTAATAAAGAGCCAACTGCATCATAAGAATTCAATGTATGTTTTACATGACTGTTATTAAAATATGAGAAATACAGCAAAGGTTAAGATGGTGGATGTCCAAGCTAGAAAATCAACTCTTCCTTTTATTTTTCCTAAAAAAAAAATTCTTTATAAATTTTCAGACAAAGATAAGTCACTAAGTTGCCCAGGCTGAGCTCAAGCTTGTGATCCTCCAGCATTGGCATCCTCTGGGGTGACTCTTTAGAAACACTGGAGATTCTGAACAGCAACAAGGGTGCTTGGCAGGGCCTGCTTCCCTACTTCTGCTGAAAGCAGCTTGAGTTGAGGAGACTGGGGGTTTGTTTGTGAGGACTTCCGAGAAAGGAAAAAGAGGGAATGGGATGTTATTCCCTAATACCATGTCATTAGTTATGAGCACAGTCTCACTTCTATCAGCAGAAACTGGCATGAAGTGAAGGCTCTGCTCTCTCTGAGGTGCAGCCCAGGGCACAACCTGCGTGGGAAGACACAGAGTCCCAGGAGCTCTGTGCACCCCAATCTGTTGTAAGTCAGGTGTTGGAGAGCACCAGGGACCTTTTGGGAAGGGGATTCCTGGGTGTCTGTACTGTTGAGTAAGGAGGGTCACTTTCAAGGGCCAGTCTGAGCAGAAGCAAAGATGACAGTGAGTACAGTCGGCGTTCCAAGAGCCAGTGAGCTAACAGAGAGCACAGCTGGCTCCAGGCTGAGGCAGAGACGGTAAGGAAGAAAAGCACTCAGCAGAAGGAAGGGATGGGGGTGGGAAGGGAAGAAACGAGGAAAGAAGAGCCTCCTTTGCCTGACATGCCCAGGAAACTGCATCCTACGAGAGTAGAAGGACAGCGGGGTGGGGGATACCATCAATCGCCACCAGGATGGCTGTCTGTCCTTTCATCTCATGGTCGGTCATGGCATCACTGACATCACTGGAGATGGTCAGGCCATTGCGCCTCATCCACTCACGGTTTCCGATCAGCACAGAGAAGGTCTGGGGTGCTGCATCTATTCAAAGAAAGAAGTTACTCCTAACAGTCCAACTTCATGATGAACTGAAACCTGGGAATCCTTTTAACAGCATAGTAGTCATTTAACGTTATGAAAGACTGTGATCTATAGGTGACTCTTGTAACAATATCCTTAGAGCATCAGGGCAAAGGTACAACAATGTGTAGAACACATGGGTATAAATTAAATAGGGCTTTAGTAGGACATGCTGTAGACACATTAGTCACCATGTAATGCCCTTCTTATTGCCTTTAAGGTATCTGTTGATTCTTCTGCGGGGCTCCCAGGCAGTTAGGTTTCTGCCCAGACCCCAGCAGGTATGACGAGGACTCATCAATAACTCCATGTCAATCAACACATAATCAGGTCAGTCTATTTTTTTTTTTCTCCAAATGCCTTCAGGGCAGGTTTGGCTGGCTTGAGTTGTGGGGATTGAACCATAGCAACCTGAGCTTGACTGCTTTGTTGAAGCAGCCACTTAAAGAACTGAGCTAAGGGGCAGGCTCCCAGGACAGTCTATTTCTAAGACACATTTTAAAACTGTGCCTCTGAAAAGCCCAGGTGGGCTCTCATGCCACTTCCTCACGGTGTGTGTCCCTGAAGTGCCACTGTGTGCAGCAGTGTCCAAATCCTCTGATGGTTGCCCAGGGGTTTTAAATTGCAAGAAGGCAGAGATGGCTTCTAACATCACTTAAATCAAGATCTGGCTATTAGTATACTTAAGAGGAAAACACTAAATACAAGTTTTTGAGGTTCTGGGTGTTTCCCACTCAAAGTAATGGCTGGCAAGCTGTTTTTAGACTAAGAAAGACAGCTGCCACCTGGAGCAGCAGCCCTTGTTGGCTTGAGCAGACTGGTCCATGTGTTTCCCTAACTTTCTGTCAGCTTTGTAAATATTACACACCCCACGAAAGCTCCCCCATGCAGGAAGGAAACAGAGAGAACAAAGGTAGGTCGCACCTGTTTACCTAGAAGCCATTGAGAAGTATGATCAATTCGGACTATGAAAGAAGCTCAAAATTACACATCAGTGACGTGATCCTCTATGGATATAAGTCACCACTACACTGGCCTGCCAGAATATCAGCGTTAGATGCACCAAGGCATGGCAGGGAGAAACAGTAGGCTCTTCCAGGGGAGGGAGCCATGAATGCCTAGCCTCAATCCCCCCACAGGTAGGCCACATATGGAGCGCCCCAGAGCTTGGCCTGTCACTCCACACTGAGCTGAGACACAAAGGTCAGGGATACCTTTTCCTGGAGGGCCGCCAACCTCCTTCAGGTGACCAGCCTGCCCACTCAGTGGGTGCTCACTCTGGGACAGGATGCCTTCCACGTTGCTGACTTTACAGCCGATTCCACAGCCTGGCACCGCCTGGAAGTCTGTGCAGTATCCCAAGGTCTCTGTTCCAAGTTCCTTGGAAGGCAGGGAAGAGGGAGAGGGATGAGAACAGGAGAGGGCAGGATAGAGGCTGTCTGGGCAGGAAGGGGAAGGGGGGGGGCGTGGAACTAAAGGGAAAGCTTAGGAAATCGACTGCCAACTCAGCCACAGTCACTCAACTGAGTAAGATTACGCAGCCTAACCTACCTCTAGGTAGATGCCTCAATTCATACCACACATGTCCAAGAAAGCGATTTCTATGTTGCAAACGATTTCATAAAAGTGATGGATTCACATGGCAGGTAAAAAAAACTATTTTTAAAAAATCTTTTATTATCTTTATGTACTTGGTATAGGGTCTCATTCAGCAGTTTAGACTTGTGGTGATCCTCCTGTCTCAGCCTCCCCAGTGCTGGGACTCGGTGGCCGGCATAGCACAGGGCCTGCACAGCATGCAGTACTGGGGATCGAACCTGAGTCCTTGTGATTTCCAGGCAGGCACTTAGACTGCTGAGGTGTCTCCCTGGCCCCACAAAGCTATTCTGAGGTAATCCTCAAGAGGGGATTGTGAGGAAGCAGGGAGGAAGCAAGCAGAGCAGCAGCTTGGCAGTGCATGACCTTCCTTCTGGCCTGCCAGGAAGACATCAGACGGGAGAGAGCTGTGCCGTGTAAAGGACAAAACAAGAAACAAGGTTTCTGAAGACATCCCATCCAGAAAGATGTGCCAGGTCACCCATCTACATTTACAGAAACAGGATTTGTGCAGGCAGTTTACAGTCTGTCAGCACAGCACCTCAGTACAGTCTGCCAAACAGCAAACGAGAGAGGTCCTTTCCTGCGGGAAGGAGGCTAAGGCTCAGCCCCAGGTCCCCTATGCCCACTTCATGTCTGTGTCCCTAGCACCAGGCCTCATGAAAGCCTATATTTTTAGTCTATCTTTCTTTCCCAGCTTCAGGCCAAAGCTTCCGAAGGGCACAGGTCACATCCCACTGGGTTTATCCTGAGTCCAGCACCAAACACATGCTCAGTAAGTGGCTGTGACACTGCACTGCCTTTGTGGTAGCCAGAAAGTGTGACCAGGCCAACTGTGAGCCTCTCCTACCACAGGCAAAGGCTCCTGTGACAGCTAGATCCCAGGAGGGCATGTGGTGAGGAGGGGGGCCAGGGCAGGGAGGGGTCTACATACCGCTTTACAGTATTTGGTGACTGCCAAGCCCAGGGGGTGCTCGCTGCTGGCCTCTGCAGTACCCACCACAGCCAGAACCTTCCTGAGGGGCAGCGTAGCCACATCTCCAAGCAGCAGGACTCGCATGACCCTGGGGACCCCGTGGGTAATGGTGCCAGTTTTGTCAAACATCACAGTCTTTATCTGCCAAAGCAACCACATCTCAGTGATACAACCCAGACAGCAGGGATGTCCAGAGTCCACACCATCCTGAGGCAGAGCTTCCTCTACCTTTTCAAGCAGGTAAAACCACCCCAACATAATTTCCTAACCTGATGTTCTGCAGGCAACCTGGGGATTCACATACTGCTACAAAGACATCGACCCCCACCTGCCGTGGCTACCTACACCATGGCTTACCCAGCCGGGTCGAGCCACAACCTTCCTTGGCTGTCCCCACAACATGACGTCATTCACAGACTTTTTCTAGGTCAGGAGTCAGGGCAAAGGGTCTGCTTGTTTCCTATCCCCGACCCCGTGTTGTCCCTCTCCACCAAGGCATGAGTGTTTTCTTGTTTGCCCAAGTACAAAAGCCAGCTAGAACAAAGTCTTCACAATATGAGTTCTAGAAAGGTAGAGACCCAAATACAAGAAACCACAGAGCTGGCTGTAAGCCCACCCCACACGGTCGAGGGCAGCTTTGCCCTGGTCCCTAAGTGTCCAGGCTCAGCTATTCTCTAGCACCCACCCAGTGACCTGCACTTCTGAGGTGCACCTGTTACTTCTGTGACTCTAGTACCTGGACTGCACACCTCCCTAAACCTCAGGTAGGGGCAGCTGGTTGTTCCGCACAGTCATCCTGTCTGGTTAGGAAGCAATCCCGATGTTCTGGACTCCTATGTGCACAGCCACCTTCCTTCAGGGCCCTCAGGCCATCTCCTCCGAAGACTGCTGCCTCCTTCCGTCTGTTCCTCACTGTGAGCCACATCGTTCTCCCTAGCACGCGACCGAGGGAGGCACCAAGTGTTCATCCTGCCCACCATGCTGCCTCCGTGCTTAGGGTAGCATGCTCTTCAGCAAATCTTCCAGGCCTCCGTAGGCTGGTCCCTCCCTCAACAGCCTCATCCTCACATAATCCATTCTCTCTCTCTCTCTCTCTCTCTCTCTCTCTCTCTCTCTCTTTCTCTCTCATGCTATAAAAAAGGTTTCTCATTATTTATTCAGCAAATAACCTCCAAGTAATTTCAGTATGCCAGGTCCCGGGCTAAGTGAACAGGACACAATGCTGAGAGAACACTCAGCTCCTAATCTGAAAGAGCTTACGACATAGCAGTGCGGCTGTGTCTTCGCAATCTGAATTCTAGAAAAGAAGGGACCCATAATACCTCTTAACCAGAGCTGGCTGTAAGTCCACCCCACACAGTGAAGGGCAGCTCTGGCCTTGCCCTGGCTTTCCACCTGCAATACCCGCAGCTGGAGTAGCCTCCCTACCCTCAGTCATCGGCTAATTCTAGTTCAGCTGGAGGGTCCCACATTCACCTTTCCTAGCCTCCTGCAGCAGCCCTTACTGCCAGGTAAGACAGGCCCTACCACAGCGTCCTCACAGCACCTCACCTCTTGGGACACTTGGCCATTCAACACCTGTCTGTCCCACTACACCACCAGCCTTGGAAGCTGGGTACTGTGATCACTGCCAGAACTGGGTGCACAGCCCACTCGCCTCACAGTAAGCATTTGACAACGAATAAATGAATGGGGGTAAAAGTTCAGGGGCTAGTGTGTTAGGCAAAAGGAAGTCTCTTCAGGCACACTGTAGCTCACCACCTGGCCCCAAGCTCACAGGACCCTGCCACTATGCCCACAGATGTGAGCTGGCTTTGTCTCCTGGAGCCTGACTACTGAGGTGTGACCCTGTCTGTGCCCTTGGAATGGCCTTCCTAATTCCACTGCTACAGCTTCCTCACTATAAACTAGGAATAAGAAGCACCTACAGCAAACAAGGCAAACAGTTATCACTAAGATAGAACCAGTGAATATTCACAAAGCTTTTGAGCATTGTAACTGCTGCTACTTTTGCCATTCTTGTTTCCAGTCAGTTTGGCTTCCTAGTCCATGTTATTAATATTGCTGCCCACTCAGGCTGTTCTCGGGCTTTTCTCTTAACTAAAAAAAGTGAATAGATACATATTCACTAGGACCCTCAAGGCAAATGTCAACCAGGGCCCAAAAGAGGGCAGAGGGAGCATGGTGAGGGCCTTCTTGAGCATCACCTCCAGAGCCACCCACCTGAGCGCCATCTCCAGGGCCACCCACCTTGTGTGCCATCTCCAAAGGCTTGCCTCCCTTGATGAGGATGCCATGCTGGGCGGCCACCCCGGTACCCACCATGACCGCTGTGGGTGTGGCCAGCCCCAGGGAGCAGGGGCAGGCAATGCACAATACGGTGATGGATGTCTGGAAGGCGAAGCGGATGATCACCTCCGTCTGTGAGATGTGCTTGCTGGGGCTCTAAAGGGGGAAGACAGGCAGGATGAGTGCAAGCGGAGAGGCTCACAGAACCCTCAGCATAGCAGGACATCTCTGTGGGGGCAGGGGCCTGAGACAGCTTAGCTGCTGGGTTTAGGGAACAGCTGCATCCCGTCCACCTTGGTATCACAGGGTTCACTTCATGGCCCCACATCTCCACGTCCCAACTTTATCCCCCAGGGTCCCCTCTGATAGGCAGGACAAGAACGTAGTCAAAAAAATCTCCGATAGGGGCTGAAGCAAAGGTCTGGGAGTCAGACCACATAATTTGTATCTGGCTCTGATGCTAACTTCACCTATCTGGGCCTCAGTTTCCCCATACACAAAATGGAGTTGATAACAATGCAGCTGGCTCCTGTGCTGTTTTACAACTTGAATGAGACAAAACACTTCTAAATACAAACATACACACAGTACAACAATGGGCACAGGCGAGGTGTCAAAGCAATGACAACTATTACACTATGATTATTTTATCATTATTATGTAAATTTTTAAAACTGACATACTTCCACAGAATCTATCCTAGGATAATAATGACACAGTTGGACATGAGGCAGGGATATTTATCACCAGGCTTTATTTTGTTTCTATAATGGTAAAACCTGGAAATAATACGGGACTAATTAATCAGGCAGTGCACAATAGAATGCTGGGCTGCCGGTGGAATGATGCGGCGTGCCTGAGTTGATCGACACGGAAACAGAAGAACTTCAAATGTGAGGGTGAGAGACCAAGCGCTGTGGCTTTCCTCATGCAAAATCCCCTGCCTCTACCCGGACGGAACACAGGAAAGATGACTGCCGAAGAGGGAAGGGCTGTGGTGTCATCTCTATTTTACTTTCTATATTTTTCATGACTATTTTCTTTGTAAATTCCCCCAAATTATGGGCCTATTCTGTAGATTCATTGGCACAAGTTGGTATCACTATTTATACTCTGAGATCTTGAATGACTTTGATTTATTTTTCAAAATAGCTGGTGACTATGGAGTCTAACCAAGAAATACTACATTCATGTAATTACAGTAAACAGCATATTTTCTATATGGAGGTCACGGACTGCAATCTCTTTACCTTTAAAATTTATTCTTTGATGTTGAAAAGTAGGAGATTCTAAAATAAGGTATATATTTTTTTAAAAATAAGGTATACTCTAATTTTCATAAAACAGTTGTATTTAGGCAGATAAGATATAATTTTCTGAGAAAAAGATGTGGTTTTTTTGTAAACTGAGTAATTCTTGTTACTACCACTTAGCATTCTGGTAACACTGGGTGGCGTTCCGACGTTAGCGTGAACCTTTCCTACAGTGAGTTTGTGCGGCAGAGTGACAAGTATCTTAAAGGAGCATGCAGTACCTCATTTGCCAGCATCCTCCCTGATTTTGCAGATAAAAACAAAAGAAGCCACAGTAAGATGGAAAGCATGGAACGGTAGAAAGTCATACACTCCAGCTTGTTTAACCTGAGTCTTCCCACAGCCCCATACCGATGAGTTCTCCCCGAAAAGCAGAAATTTTAGGCAGTCAGGTGCTGCGAATAGTCACTGGCAATTTCTAGGCTACACTCATAGCTTACATTTAAAAACACTGAGGTCTCCTAGATGGCAAAAAGTGCTTAACTTGGCTGTTTTCCACTTAAGATAGAAAACTTAAGGGAGAAAATGACACCTTAGTAAATGACATGCAGCCTAAGAGTATCCGGTATACCTTTAATTATATGTAGAAAATTTTAAAAAAGAAAAAAAATGTATCCTGTATCTATAGTCTCTTATTCTATGGCTCTAAGCTAAGTACTACACTATGACAGGAATGAAGTGAGGCAGAACACTGTTACAATACGGCTCTCTGGCTTGTTTAAACTGAGTCTTCCCATAGCCCCATACCAATGAGTTCTTCTCCGGGGCACGAGCTTTTTGGTACATGTAATATTTGGTACAAGGTCTCACTATGCAGCTCAGACTCGTAGTGATCCTCATGTTTTCAGCCTCCCCAGCGCTGGGGATTACAGGCATGCACCGCCATGCCCAGACTTGGTAGCTGGCTCAGCCTGCCTGGGGACAGGTCATGAGCTTTTCAGGGACATCAAGGTTTTTCAGTCCCAGAACTGATGCCATCATCATTGTGGGGATCTGTCCTGTGTCTGTGCCTCGCAGAACTCTTAGCAGCATCCTGGCCTCTGTGCTAGAAGTGTGCTGTATTCGCTCCATGTGTGAAAACCAAAAATATGTTCAGATTTTGTCCCTGACAATCACTGATGCAAGTTAAGTTTTATAAGGGACTGTATTTTCCATATTCTTTTTTTTTTTTTTTTTTGAGACAGGGTCTCACTGTGCAGTTCAGGTTGGTATTGAGCTCACTTTGTAGCCCAGGCTGGTCTCTAACTTGGAATAATCCTGCCACCTCAGCCTCCTGAGTGCTGGGATAACAGGTGTATGCCACCATGCCCAGTCCTCCACTGTTTTTTCTAAGTTTGACAAAACAATATTTCCCAAGATAGTGTTCTTCAGTACTTAGAATGTTAGGTATTTAATTATTAAAAAGCTCTGTCTATATTAGCATATAGTCTTTCATCTTTTTTGTTTTTTAATGTATTTGGTACAAGGTCTCACTATGCAGCTCAGACTTGTAGTGATCCTCCTGTTTTCAGCCTCCCTAGCGCTGGGATTACAGGCATGTACCACCACGCCTGGACTCGGTAGCTGGCTCCATGCCCAGACCCAGTGGCCGGCTCAGCACACCCAGGGATGGGGCCAGCGTGGCATGTGGTGCTGGGAATCGAACTCCAGTCCCTGAGCTTGCCTAAGCAGTTGCTAATCCACTGAGCTATCTCACTGGCCCAGTCTTTCGTCTCTCAAAAGCACTGTAAAGTATTATGACTTGGGAAAGTAGGAGACTAAAGATCAAATTGGCTGGCTATAGATAGCAAAAAAAATTTTTTTTCTTAAACTCTACTAAATAATGTTACTGTGCCATCAAAATTATGAAGTGGCATATCTTCTATGACATATACTTTGTAACTTCAGAAACGGCCAGTACTACATGCTGTAAATGCTTTAAGCATTATGAGAACCAACTGATGTCCATGGAAATTATCTAAGTAGATACAAAATGCAACTTTATACAAACCCATAGAAAGAAAGCGACCAATTGATTTGGAATCTAATTTAGATTTTACTGTCAATAAAATGAAAGAACCAAAATACAATGGATAATTAAATCCCAGTGCATCTAAGATAAAAATGGCAATAAATTATTTAAAACACAACCACCACACTGCTCAAAGCGTTCAACTTACAGGAAAGTATTTCTGAACAACATCAAAATTGATAAAACCGATTATTATCCAAACCACCAATGTCAAAGTTGAAATGATGATGATAAATGGGACAAAATAGCCACTAAACCGGTCGGCCAGTTGCTGAATGGGTGCCTATGGAAATACAAAATCAAGATCATACAAAATTATGAACTGGGAAGCCATAAAACCCCACAAGCACGGGTAAGGATGGGGCCCCTAGCCTGTGCATTAACTACATTTGCTAACTGATCTTTACTCAATAATGACCTATTTATGCTATGGAAGTGGGGGAGCTGAGGTCACACCATGTTTCGAGTTTCTTCATTACCTTGGACATCTGGGCCTCTTCTACCAATTTCACAATCTGAGCCAAAGTAGTGTCGTTGCCCACATGGGTGGCTTTAATGAGCACGGAGCCATGAGCGTTTATAGACCCGGCGATCACCACACTCCCGGGTTTCTTGGTGACGGGCATGGCTTCCCCTAGAGGTGAAGAAGAGATCATCAGCACCTGCTCAGCCCCATTCCACACCTGACACCTTGCAGAGGGAACAGGAAGCGAGCCACCTGACCTGTGATGAGGGACTCGTCAGCCATGGTGTTGCCTTCCAGGACCTTCCCATCCACTGGGAACTTCCCCCCAGGGACAACCTTGATGACATCTCCCCGCTGCACCAGCTCCATGGGTACTTGCTCCTCTCTGTAACAGATACACCTCTGCTCACACCCAGCCCCTTGTACCAGCACCCCTCCCCTGCACCATGCCAGGCTCTGGGTCAGCTATTGGATTAGTTCCATACTCAGCCAGCCCCTTGTACCTGTGAGCTCTGAATCCACAGGTTCAACCAAACTTGCAACCAAAACATTCAGAGGAAATAAATTTCCTTCTGTGATGAACACTTCTTGTCATTATTCTCTAAGCAATATATTATAAAACTCTTCATGTGGGATTTACATTGTATTAGCTATTATAAGTCATATAGAAGTGATTTGAAGTATACAGAGGGAAGTAGGTTATATGCATATACTAAGCCATTCTGTGTGAGGGATTTAAGCACTGGGAGGTTTTGGTTATCTGTGGGGTCCCCATGGCCCCCAGGGGACAACTGTACTTGTTCTACGCTGAGCAACAACCAAGGGCTATGCATGAGAGGCACATGGGCATGGATTTTATGTTAAGACAACTGGGAATCACTGGAAGACTTTTCTTTCTTTCTTTTGCGGTACCAGGGATTGAACTCGGGACCCTGCACTTGCCAGGCAAGTAAGACTTTTCACTAGAGAAATACAGTCAGAATTTTGCTCTAGAAAGGTCACTGGTTTTAATACAAATATTTTGAAGGTGAAAAGCTGGCAGTAGGTGGCCAATAAACAACAGCTCGCCTGAACAGCCAGCAGCCCCAACCACAAGTGAGGCAATAGAAGGACAGAGCAGGAGGTGGACAAGCAGAAATTGGGAGGTCAGAGGTCAATGCACCACGGAGGAAGGAAAAGAGCCACAAAAGCAGCCCAGGCCAAGCCCTAGGAGCTGTGTGGCAGTGCCAGGGAAGAAGACCGTCATTCATCTGAAGGGCTGCAGGAGAATAGAAAGGACAGGGAAAAAGCCATTAGAGAAAGTTCTACGGGGTGTGTCCAGTGATAGGCCTGCAAGTGAGTTCCACAGGCCTGGGTCAGAAGCCACAAGAGCTCAGCAGATTAAAGCGCCTGCAAGCAGGTGAAGGGGCCAGGGTTTGATCCCCAGGCCTGCCATGCCAGCCCTGCCCCCAGGGCATGCTGAGATGGGGATTGAGACTGGATGTGGTGGCGCATGCCTGTAATCCCAGCACTTGGGAAGCTGTAAACAGGCAGATCACTAAGAGTCCAATCTAGTAGCGAGACCCTGAACACCCTGCAGACCCTTCCCTAAAATATAGGGAGAAAAAAAAGAAGGAAGCCACAAGAGAGCAGACATGAGAGCAGACATGTCCCAGTGACAGTCTATAACACGCCTAAGACATGGAGGAGAATGAAGGAGACCTACAAAGGAGATCAGCAGCAGCAGGGAAGATGTCCTCATACACCAAAAGGTCATGAATGTAAAATGTCCCACCACCTAAACTTGGGATAAAGAAAAAAGCACAGGTGTCTCCAGCAGAGGGACAGAGGCGAGGAGAGGCTGTAGGCTAAGGGTCCACCTCATACAGGAAACTCAAGTGGGCTTCAGGAGGTACCAAGAGCCTGTCTACACAAGCAGAGGCCAGAGGGGACTGGAGGCATGGTACCTGGCACACCTCAGGGTCAGCCCTTCCAGGGGACAGTGGCAATACAGACAGCGGAGAAATCAGCCATGTCCCTGGAGAGTGGGGTGGCTGGGAGCCGGGAGCCGGGAAGGACCCTGCACATGCAAAGCAGCACAAATGGGCCTGATCTGAGCACACCACTCATCTTAGGCAAAGTCAGAATGAATTCTGGATCCCTGATGAAAACATGGTACCATCCTGTTGTGATGGGAGTGGTTAGGTCTACAGTGTGTTCACAGGCCAAGAAAACAGAAAGAGGAGGATGAAGAGGAGGAGGGGAAGAGGAAGAGAAGAAGGAAGGAGGAAGAAAGAGGAAGAAGAAAGAGGAGAAGGAGGAGGAGGAGGAAAAGGAGGAGGAGGAAGAGGAGGAGGAGGAGAGTCGCCTTCTTTAGAAAAGAACTGAGTTACAACAGGCGTAGCCCACTCACTTCCCGTGGCATCTCAGCTGACTGATGCCACCTGGCAGGCCACTAATCTGCTCATGTTCAGGTCACTAAGCAGCCCCTGGTTAGCACCAGAAGCTCTTTGAACTATTATTGGCAGAGGCAGCAGGGTGGATGTTGGTCAGGTGCGTCTACACAGATGCAGGTACTGCAGCTTTGTGCCCCCCTCCAAATACTTTCACTTTTCAGAAGTTTTCATGCCACTGATTTATAAGAGTAAAAAAATAAGAGTCAAGGTGCATGAGACTGCAGACACCAAAGCTGCTGTGTGTGTGCGCATCTGCACATGCACACTGAGAGCACCAAGTGGTCATCACACAGGATGCCTGACTGGGAGACAGTGTGGCATGGTGGCCAAGAGTGGCCCTGTGCCTCCAAGGGCCTGGCCTCAGTTCTGCCACCATCTACGGACTTTAAGCAAGTGACTTGGCCTCACTGAAGTTTGGATTTTTGCTACTGAGAATGGGGACAGTGACAGTGGCCCTCACAGGAGAGTCATCCCAGTTGCATTAGGTAAATCATATACAGTACCTGGTGTACAGTTAGGAACCAACTCTGAGTTAGCATGATTATAGTTACAATGATTACTTAAAAAGTACAGTCCAGGGAAAAAGTCACAATCCTGGACTACAGTGAACTGGCGCCGCAACAACTTCTAAAGCACGGATTCCTCCACCCCTATGGACACTGGCACTGACAACAGTGGGTGAGAGGTAAGGGCCTATGTCTGTCTCCACAAGGGGAAGGCCTGGAGTCTATGTGATAACCAACAAAATGGAGACAACGGAGTCTATGGACAAACTGGTAGGAGACTCCCTTCTATTGCAAGGGGTAGGGTACTCCAGCAGGCTCACTGCACAGGACCAAGGGAGGGAAGTGACCAGCAACCCTACAACACCTCCTGTTCTTGGGAGTCAGAAGTGAAATCACAGTTTATCAATAAAATTTTGAAGAAAAAAAAAAAAAAAAACAAAGCAAAAAAAAAAAAAAGAAGTGAAATCACAGGCTCAAAGAGTATATGGGTGAGGGAGAAACTTCAGGAATACATACACGGCCTACATGACAACTGCCTATGATATGGTTTAGACCAAAATTGGTCCCCAATACCTCAGGTGCTTGGAAGGCGTCTGGATTATGGGGTGCTACGGCAGGCTTGCTGTTGGGGGGGGGGTGGCCAAGGAGGCTGTCGCTAGGGTTTATCTCCCTCCTCAGTACCTCCCTTCTCTCAGCGCTTCCTGGATGCCATGCGGTGGGCAGCTTTCCTCCGCCAAGCCCCCCTGCCTGGAGCTGCTCAAGCACAGAAGGCCTAAAATTTCTACCAACTATGAGCTACCCACCTCCGTTAAGTGGTGAGTGCTGAGTATTTTGTGCCGATGATGAGAAAAGCAACTACGATAGCCCAGACTATTAAAAGAAAGGAAGAAAGAAAGAAAGAAAGAAAGAAAGAAAGAAAAAAAGAAAGAGCGAGCCAATCAAGGAAATAGAGAAGCCTTAATTTGTAAAAATTTCCATATTATTACATATGCCTTATCAGTCAGTAATACAGCCAGACATGGTGGCACACACCTGTCATCCCGGCACTCAGGAAGCTGAGGCAGGAAGATCGCCATCAGCTCAAGGCCTGCCTGGGCTACATGAATGAGTTCAAGGCCAGCCGCTCTACAGAGCAAGACCCTGTCTCAAAACAAAAAGTCAGTATGTGAAAGGGACAAGAGCGTAGACTGTGGAGCCAACGGCCAGAGGACTACCCTCCCTTCTCTATGTAGCTCCTACTTGACCCCAAGTCAGCTGCTCAGCCTAGCGAGACCTGTTTCCTCTGTAAAATAAGAGAAGTAACAGCCCCTTCAGGATACAGGCTTTTTCCCTGAATGAGGGGAGTTAGGAGATTAATGACAGTTTAAATACAAAGCAGTTAGGAGAGTGCTTGAGTATATATCCAAGCAAGAATGATAATTATTTTTAATATGACAGCCTTACAAGGAAGATATCACTATTCCACTGTACTCTTCGGCAGGTCGCAGCCCTAATCTCTGGCCTGATCCAATCCCCAGATCTTGAATGTTCCATGCAGGGCTCAGTTATAACCCATGTTCTCTCTAAAGTCACCCTTGACACCATTAGCCTTCCTTCTGTAATTGCTGGACTCCCAGTCATTCACGCCCTCAGCCCCCACCCCCCCAGTACACAGACACCACTGTTTGTTCTTTAACAGAAAAGCTTCGTTTGTGCAATGCCTTGAGTGTCCTTGCCTACTCTGTGAGGTTTAGTGCAACGTAACTGCGGGATGGGAGTTGGCTCCCTACTATCCAGGCAACACGAACTGACCTTGAGCCCTACTGATGAACACAACCTACCTGAGGATTAAGTTGTCCTCACCGAGGGTCACAACTGTGGCTTCTGTAGCTTGGAGAGACATGAGCTTAGCAAGCGCCTCTGAAGTTTTGCTCTAGGAAATAACCAGAGTGTGACATGAGAGCTATGTCAACCTGACCTGAACCAGATGGAAAGAGACTGCTCCCCAATGTGGCCATACCGTGCAACAAAGGCACTGTGGGGACTGGTGCATGGCTCCTGGGCCACTAATATAGTTCTAGGAATTCCATTCAGACTGAAAACACCCTGCCAAGTAACAGTTCCCTTTTATGTTCAAGCTACCATCTTTTGTGGCCTGTATCCCACCCAGTCTTTCATAGGACCCAATGCAAGGGAGCGGTTCAATGCAGGATGTTAAAAATTATATGACCCCAGTTGGAAGTAATACCCTACATTAACACCCTCTATATTCAGTCACTAAAAGACCAAGTGGGTTTTAATAATTAATCAGATTAGCTGGGATTTCAGAAATAGCATCCAATTTGGAGATTAGTGACTCTGGTGCCTAATTATACGGAGGTTTCAGATTTCTTAAGTCTTTCCCCTTACTGTGTGTAATGAGTATTTCTCAATACTGTGTTCACATGGACTGTGATTTGTTTTCCTGGAGGAACAGTTCTTAACAGGAAGCCAGAGCTACCTTCGCCACATGTTCTAGCCACCGTCCCAGGGCAATGAACACGAAGAGCATTGGAGGTGTGTCAAAGAATGTCACAGGACTCTTCTCGGCCTTCTCAGCTATCGCAACCACCAGGATGACCAGGGAGTAGACGTAGGCAATGCTCGTGGCCAGGACGATGAGCACGTCCATGTTGGCCGATCTGTGTCGCAGAGACTTGTAGGCCTGGACGTAGAAGTACCAGCCACCAAGGAACTGAAAGACAAGGTGAACAAGGGCCGCCGATGAGCAGGGCGGAGGCTCTAAAGAGCCGGAGGCCCCAGGATGGCAAATACTCTAGGACTGCGCACCTGTGTGATGTGACCTTTTCTTTAGTGCTCGACATTTATTAAACATACCTTCTAATTCAGAAGGAACTCCTGGCCCACAAAAATTGGATGATCAAGGGTATGCATCTTGGTTATTTTCTCTTGTTGTTGGGACAAAATACCCAACACCCAAAGTTAAGGAAGGAAAGTGTTATTTAGCTCTCAGTGAGTGGAGGTTTCAGTCCATACCCAGCTGGCTCTAAGGCAGAGTGGCACATGGCAGAGGGCAGCAGTTCATAGAGGCAGAAAACAGCAAAGAGCAAAGGGAAGAGCGGGTCCATGCAGCTAGCAAGCCTCTCTTCCTTCCTTCTATTGTGTTCAGGCTATCAGCCCCAGGCAGGCATAGTACACACACCGGTAACCCCAGCATGGGATCATGATTAATTACAAACTCTAGAAGCTGCCCCAATGACTGCATGAGGCTCTGAGGGCACAGCTACACACAAACCGTAACAGTATGTATAACCTTTAAAACTCAGGACACGTAGTGTGAGTGGCCATCAGTATGAGACTGGCAAAAAAAAAAAAAAAAAAAAAAAAAGAAAAGAAAAGCAGACTTGAGAATCAATAGAACAACCTGAGGGTGCAAAAACAACTCCAAAGTGTACTTCCGATTTGATTTGAAACTGTCTCATTGCTGTTTATCAATAAAACTTAAAAAAAAAAAAAAAAAAAAAAATCATGGTTCATTCATGCTGTGGACAGTGCCAATCTCTAAGCAGAAGATTCTGTATCCATAAAACATTGGCAAAATGGAAGTCTGTGAAACAAGATTAAATAAAAATCCCAGTATGCATTAGTATACCTCCCACACTCACACTTCCACTAATAAAGTCTGAATGTATTATGTGAGCATGCACACCACATACGTAACATGAGAATGAGTTTTCTCCACACAGATGAGATTCAGAAAGATACATGCCCTACCTAATGGTGACACTGTAGCTGTCCCCGAGGGGCACGGCTCAGCCAGAGATAGGCAAAATTAATGAAAAATATTTTCTTTGCTTCTAATACTCCAGTATGACTAGAGTTCTTTATAAATATACAGTAATTTGTGAATAAAAATAAAATGTAGAGAAAAATTCAGTTATAAATATTTGCTCCCCAAAAGTCAAACATCATTTGCCAGTTAATCTTGACTATCAGCTTGACTAGATTCAGAGATTCTAGAGAGGTGACTGAACTGTGAGGACACCAGGCTTACCAATGGATTAACCAATGGACGAGCTCATAGCTGCATGGCTAGTAGCAGGTAGGGCCCCTTTGGAAGCAGTGGGTCATGGGGCATGGCCTGGGGGACTATATCCAGTCCCCTCCTCTGGAGCTCTGGCCTTGCTCTCCCTGTGGGGTGGGTGGGGGGCTTCTCTCTTCTGTGCCCCTTTGCCATGAAGTTTCTGTTTTAGAGCCAGAAGGCTATGGATTGAAATCCCTTGAATGATGAAGTACAATAAACCTCAATTCCTTTAAGTGGTAGCTGTTAGGTACTTTGTCCCAGCAATGGGAAAGCTGACTGATATGCATTCCAATACTACTGAGGTGTTTAGTTTTATGTTCCAAAATAAATGCACAGACAGCACACCTCCCTTCAGAAACAGAGCTGGTTCCTTAACATCACCATCGCAGCAGACGCTCCCTGAGGTCTGCCTGCTGAGCTACAACGTGCTCATTCTGCCTTTTCAAGACAGACCATTCAGGAGAAGCATGAGCTCCAGGACATCCAGCTGCTCCTTCTAACAGGTAAATTAAGCTGAACAGGGGCTGGTGAGATGGCTCAGTGGTCTAAAGCACCTACTTAGAACAAGCTTAGCAAAGCACAGGGACCGCTGTTCAATCCCCAGCACCACATGCCAGCCAGCCCCGCCCCCTGGTGGGCTGAGCTGGCCACACACACACACACACACACACACACACACACACACACAAATAAAATAAAATAAAAAAAAAATTAAGCTGAACAGTAAGCAAATTGGGGGCACACAGTTTCCCACTCTTGCAGGGAGGAAGTTGTTGCTCTAGGGCGTTTTGATCACCGATAGTCAACTCTGAAACTGACAGTGGAATTAGACCCTTCTTAGTCCTCATAGTAGAAGGTCTGGCCCTGTCCTGTTGGTCATAAGACAGAAATAAAAGCAGCAATGTCAGGAGCTGGCTTAGGAAATATCACTGAAACAAAGCTGAAAAGCTGTGTTCAACGTACCTGGACGAATGTGCACAAGATGAAGAAGACAAGGTTGAGAATGGACAGCCCCGGGATGATATTGTGGTCCAGGACCATGGCCTCGTGGGGCTCATGGCTGGGGATTAACATATAGATCATTAAGCCCATGACAGGGATGCCGAACACCAGGCTGCACAGGAAAGACTTCCTCCACCTGGAAGCAAGTGCAGCATGCAGACATGTTAGATACTGTCACCTGGATCCTAGGACAGTCCCCTCCAGAAGGCTCTGTGTAAAACCTGACTTTCTCACATGTCTGGAACAGACCACCATGGATTGAAACAAAACTAAGCTTCTCTCCCCACACTGCTATCCCAGGAACAATCTAAAGATCTAAACACTGTGGCAGCATAGCCTTCTTCTTCACTTGGCCTTCAATCTATATGACCTTCAGTCTATAGGTTTTGCAACTGAGGCTCAGTAGTTAAGAATCTACTCCAAAGAGGTTGACATTCTCAGTCTACAGCTGCCTATGGTCCACTATTCTTACACAGACCTTCAAAGGAAAAAAAAAAAAAAGCTGATGGCACTATTTCATTGGTATAAGCTTACTTACACATTCAATCTTGTCAGGGGCAGGGGTTTACTGGGGACTGAGCCCAGGCCCTTTGCTCTGAGCTACAGCCCCAGACTTTTTTGTTTTTTATTGAGACAGTCTCGTGAAGTCACTAAGTTGCCCACACTGAGCTTAAATTTATGATCCTCCCTCTTCAGCTTCCCAGACTGCTGGGATAGCAGGCATGCACACGTGTGCCCAGCACAATTCACTTCAGCTTTAAAACAACTGTCTAAAACTGAACCAGTAAAAAATAATGAGGCTGTCTTGGTGAATACAATGTCCAAGATCAGGGTCACAGCAGACAGCCATGGATTTGCAGCAGCCCCTCTAACCAAAGGGCTGTGGAGCTTCCTCCCTTGCTCCTCTCCTTCTTTGTCTCCTTTGCTCTTTCTCTCTGTTAATGGTGGAATTCTCCAATGCTTGGCTTCCATCCCTTCATGTTCCTCTTGGTAAATGCACACTGGCCCTGCCTTTACTGTGTGCCCAGACTGTTGCCCAGGGAGTCAGCCTCCCTGGCTTTCCAGGTCCCTGGCAGGTCAGTCCCACCTATACCCCAGGGATCCCTGGAGGCCCCAGAAGATGCCCTCCCAACCTAAAGCTCAACTCAGGATCCCTTGTTAAGCTTCCTCCACCTTCCAGAACCCTCCTACACCACTGTGGTTGCAGCTCCTCATTCTCTTCCTTCCTACCCGACCAGAACCACTCTAAGGCAGGGATGATGGTGTCTGCTCCTCCCCAGAAGTGTCACAATGCTCTGCACACAATCACAGCATCTAATTTGCTGGAAACGTAAGAGACTGCCTGAAACAACAAACCGCAGTCTCCTGATTCCTTGGCCATCTGCTTTCCACTCAGCCATGATCTCTACCCTCAGATTCTAGCTCCAGAACCTATGTAAATAAAGACTTTCCCTTTTTCTATCCTAATTTGAGCAATTACAGCTAGCTATTTAAATAATGAAAATTAAGTCAAACTTAATTCAAGGCTGGGTGTGGTGGTGTGTGCCTGTAATCCCAGCACTTGCAAGAGTGAGAGGCAGGAGGACCGCTGCAAGTCCAGCCTGGGCTACATAGCAAGAGCCGTCTCAACGCCCTCCCCCGCAAACTCATCCCTACAGGTGCACTACCTGCATTTCAAGTGTCTGAACACAGAAGTGCAGTGTAGACCTAGAGCACTGTCATCATCGTAAAACTTCTACAGATAGCACTGTTTCAGAGGGATAATGTTCCAAAGAAAAAGGCAACCAATCCAGGTGGAAGCCCAGGGACAGCAAGGACAAAGCACAACAAGCACAAAGACAATGCAAGGACACACACATGACAAGAGCCACAGAGCCAGCAGAGACAGGAAGACAGACAGTGAGTGAGACAGGCCACAGTGTGCTACCTACTGCTTTATTTCCATCTTGTGATCCAAGTGATGAGCATTGGGCCTTCTCTGGGCCAGGGAAGCATGGAAGCCAATCTCCTTGTTATCAAAAAGAGAGAGGTAGAGAATAAGGGAGAAGGTACTTGTTAAAACATGCATTGGTGGAGAGTTTTATAGCTCTGGAAATTAGACAGTAAATCTCAAAGTGCCTCCAGAGACCACTGGGTCCTCGTCTCATGCTGGCTGACAAATCCCGCCTGGAGATTCAGGACTGTCTACATTGTCTGTGATGAAACAGCATTTAAGTGGTGATTGCTGACCCTTCTGTTGGCAAAGGCAGTAGGTTCTGGGAAGCTAACCTCACCAGGCTCCAAAGCTGACTAGTACTGAGTTATAAACTCAGAAGGTTTGAGTTTAGGAACCCCAAATACCTTCCGTGGTCTGGAAGTTTCCTTCCACTCATAAGGAAAGAGCAAATCAGGGAGGTTAAATACTTTGCCCAGAAATATAACAGCCACTGTTGAATTCCTATTCTTTTGTTTAGTGAAATTCTGTATCATTTTTAGCATGTGTGTGTTTTACTATTTTTGTTCTCTTAAATAAATAAACACTTTGCCCAAAGCTACAGAGCTCCTCAGAAGAGCTAGAGCCAGAACAATGGTCTCCCTCCCACTGGGGCACCCTCAGCCCCCTCTGCAGCCCACAAAGCCCGGGTTTCAGCTTTGGGTTTTTCCCACGAATGACCCTGTGTACTTCTGCAACCACCTTGATCTGATCCAAGGCTCTGACTTTATGAACATATGTTTAGAAATGTCTTCATCAGTCACCTTGATAAAGAAAGGGACCCCAGAACCTGCAGCTGGGGTTCTTATACAAAACTGAAAGTTGTGGTAGAAAAAAGAACATTTAAGACTATGTAAGCCAACTGCTTTTACTACTAACATTAACCTAATTATATTAGGAAAGGTACCCCAGATGCAAATATGGAGGCCAAGCAATATTCCAATATCCTCAAAGAAGGAAGAAAGGACGCTACACACAGAGTGGGCTGAGTGGAGGCAGGCTATACTTGAAGGTCCTATCTAAGATGCTCCTTCCTGCTTACTGCATCAGTGTGACCCCCTCAGCCTCACACTCCCATGTCACTGCTGTTGTTCAAGAACATAGTGATAAAGTAGAAGCAGAAACACAGGCCAGGCTTGGTAGTACATGCCTGTGATCCCAGCACTTGGGAGCCTGAGGCAGGAGGATTGCCTTGAGTTTGAGGCCAGCCTGGGCTACATAGTCAGTTCAAGACCAGCCTGAACTACACAGGGAGTCCCTGTCTCAAAAACACAAAACAAATCTAGAAAGACAGCTGGGTTTCAAACTGTGAGATCTGGGTTTGAGAGCCGTTCCACACCTGGGAACTAGATCCCAAGGAATAAGGCCTTTAACCTCTCTGAAGCTCTTTTCTCATTTGATGAAGGACCTGTATCTTCTGCCTCTGGGGTGAAGCACCATTTCCAAGTCAAAAAGCTCTGCTGGGCCGAACAGACAATTCCTCTGTTCAAACACACAAGCATAATGCAGAGAAAACTAAAGATAGCACGGCTTTAATGCTGTAATGTTTCAATTCATAAGCAATTTCATAAATAGGCATCTCACTAAGCTTGATTTATCCTGACTATTAACTACCACAAGGTGCTTTTATTTAGTGTTGATTGCTTTAACCCATTCGAGCCTTCCTCGAGGCTCACTCTCTTACAGTCTGGTGTGACATAGGCCTCCAAGGAGGAAGTGTTAGGTCTCTGGGGAACCTGGGCGAGGGAGCACAGGCATGTACGCTCTAGTTCACTTTCCAGAGCACAAACAATCAAACTGCCCCTCAAAACAGGCCTCGCAGAGGGGGAAATGCAGCATCGTTCTGTCCAGTGCCAACCCCTCCTTAGTCTGTAGATACTTGCAACTGACAGAGATATTTTAGAATTACAATTAGGCAATTAAACACTATGTGCCAAGTATCTCAGCAATACTAACGCTTCTCAGGGAGTATGTGAAACTAAAGTTATAATAATGTCTTTTTTCTCCCCATCTTTTTCTTACCTATTAATGTGCTCCCTGAGATGACCTGATATGTACAGTACCTTCATGGATTATTCGAAAATAATCTTATTTCATGGTAAAAATTGGCAGATTTTAGGTGATTTTTACTTTTTCCTTCAGCTTAATTATATGTTCTTAATCATTTTCTTCAATGATTATTTGTTACTGTTTTATATACACTGGGTATAATTTTCATCAATGAATTACCTCAATAATTTTGACAATATCCCGTGGACCGATGATTTCTGGATCAAATTTCACATGGGCTTTGCTGGTGGCCAGGGCCACAGAGGCGTAGGTGATGCCATTGGTCCTGGTGAGCTTGGACTCTATGTTGTGAACACAGGAAGCGCAGGTCATCCCTGTGATCTGTAAGACAGGGGAGCACAGTGCCATGGGGCTGGGCTGAAAGGCGCCTTTCTAAAGCACCTGGGGGGCCAGGTATTGGGGCACAGGTGGCACTCCAGTCCTCGAGAGGCTGAGGCAGGAGGGTGGCTGTGAGTTCACGCATGTGAGACCCTGTCTCAAAAAAATAAATGAGTAAGCACTTGGGGGTGGGGGGTTGATGACAGGCCGCCTCCAGCCTTCTCCCTTTGTAGAACCCTCCTACAGCTCTGCACTCCATTGACAGGCCCATAAGCAAGGTGCTGAAAGATGCTCACCCTCACACGCCCTTGAAGGGAGGGGTAAATGGTGGTTCTCTCCCAGCTCAGGTACAGGAAGTAACAACCATTTAGCAGATGGCAACAAACCCAGGCTTGGCTTCGGGCTCTAACAAAAATGCACTTTTGGAGGCTATGTTTCAGCTACCTCCCCACCAGTACTGGGTATTAACCACATCATAAGAAGGATGTGGGCCTACAAACTCCTGAAGGGAGCTATAATTTACAGTCTTGCCAGTGACTGGCTTGTAGTGCCTGCTAAGATGTTCCTGTTTCAGGGACCTGCTGGCACCTGGAGGGCAGGACTCAGGGAGTAACCAACAGATGGAATGGAATCTAAGGGGCCCCAAAGTACGGACAGGGTGCTGACAGGTGAGGGGCAGAGAAACATTAGAGGGAAAGACACAAGGAAGGATGGCATGAGGTGACCTGCAGCCAGCTTGGCCAGCACAGGGCCCGTGAGGAGGAGGAGGAGGAGGGAATCCGCAGTGCTGTCTGGGTCCACAGCATGAAGGCTCTTGAGCACAGCCAAGTGTCACTAAGCCACCACTTGATGCAAAGCCACTGAGAAGTAATGGGCCTTGGGAGGCTGTGACTGCAACTGTACTGGGAAATGTGCATTAGTGATCCCAGAAAGAATAACAGGATGAGAGAAACCATCTGAAGTCAGGGCAAGAGAGGGGAGCTCATCTGGAATTGGAACACATTAACCTTAGCAGGAGATTCAAGAACAGTATCAAAAAAGGGAGGACTATCAGACAAATAGGAACTAGCTTACTGGCTGGTGACTGCAAGTTTACAAATATTTCAAGGGTGCTCCTAAGCTCTCCTTTTATTTCTGCAGTAATCATAAAAATTAGAACTTATGAAACACTTGCAATATGCTGGGTCCTGGCTTACTGCTGTACTGCTCTCCCTCCTCTAGGAGGCAGGTCTCAAAGCCACAAGACTGACAGGTGCAGTAACTGGTCCCAAGTCATACAGCCAGTGAGGGGAGAGGAGGCTGTACCCAGAGAGCCTGGCTCCAGTGTGCTCCACGCCACTGCTGTGTGGGGCCAGTCAGGTCTTCACTGACTCCCCTACGTTAACAAATGTCCCAGCCAAAGCCTGCAGCACTCTTGCCATGCCCCATGCTGTATCCTCACATGAGAGAAGGTGACATGAACTACACGATTCAGACAACTCACTTTGTGGTCAGTGCTTCCTAAATACTAAGTAAAACAGAAGTTCACATAAAATGTCTGTGGTCATGTGAACCTCAATTTTTCCTTTTTACACACTGCAACAAAAAGTATTGGTTCAAAGGGAGCTTTTCCTTTTTCCAGTAACAGTCTTGGTTTAGATTTTCCACACGATAGCCTGAGTGAGTTGGAATGCCCATGTGTGGACCTGGAGGCTAGTGGCAGAGACCTGCCTCTTCACGAGCCTGGTGCGAGGCATAGCCAGCGGGGACTCACTTGCCCTGGACACACGGGCCCTGCGGAGCCCAGGTTTGCTCCACAGAGACTGCCCTTTCCCGGGGCTCAACATGCACTCATGCCCTTGACACTGTCTTCAAACATTTACTTAGCGCCACTGGCAAAGAATAAACATTTAAGCAGGTAAATAGCATTACTCAATTCTTTTGTGGTTTTGCCTGTCTCCACAAAAACAGCTTCTCATACAAGTTTTTGAAGTGAGCATTTTGTCAAAACAAGAATAACCTGTTGTTTTCAATGGCTTGTCAACATGCAGCTTTGCCGATGACAGATGCAGGACCTCTCGACTCTCACAGTGGGAGCAACCAAAAGGGGCGGCATTCGTGAGCTCCGGGACCCTTGGGCCCTAATTATCTCCTAGACCTCCACTGCTTCCAAGAAGCCCTGTGCATCACTGTGCTGTTTTTGTGGGGCTGAAGACTGAACCCAGAGCCTGGTCGCACTAGGCAAGTGCTCCGCCCTCTAGCTTTGATTGGCACTCCCTGCCAGCCCCAGAGACTTACCTTGTCGGCCTACATAGTTGAGTGTCTCTCTTGACTAGAAGGACTGTGAGCGTGTGCAACCCCACCCACCCATGACACTCAGGACAGCCCATTGTCTGTGCCACACTTTCCCTCCTGCCCCTCAGACCCTTGCCGTCCTTATTCCCTGAGCATCTATAGCGACACTGCCTCCTCTGACTTATTGACGTAACTGATCTTCTGTTACAAAATGAACAGATCACTGTTGTTGGTTTCAAAGGGGAAGAAAAGAAACAAAACCCAACAACAGATAGGATATGTCCAGGATGGAGGATACTCGCTGATCTCAAGAATGATGGCTGCCCGAAACTCTTCTGCAAACCACATGAAGCCAGCATTCAGGCAAGGCAGCCACTGTACTCACGACCAGCTCAACGTCGCCATCTGGCCCTGCATCATCCTCCATGACTGCTGCTTCAAAGCCCAAGTCCTGGATGAGCTGGGCGATCTTGGGCGGCTGGATGACCTCTGGGTTATACTTGACCTCTGCCTTTCCTGACATCAGGGCAACCAAGATGGACAGAATACCTGGAAACATCAGGTCACAGTTGAGACACTCTGGGCAAGGTGTCTGAGGTGACATAGAAACGTCACACAAAAGCCTTCTGGGTGATTCTAATGTACAGTCAAGTTTGAGTACCACTATTCTTAAAAAAAAAAACAAAAACAAAAAACAAGAAAACAAAACTTGGCCATATGTGGTGGCACAGCCCTGTAATTCCAGTATTCGGGAAGCTAGGGCAGGAGGATTACTGTGAATTCTAGGCCAGCTTGATCTACAAAGTGAGTTCAAAGCCAGCCTAAATTGTATAGAGAAACCCTGTCTCAAAAAAAAAAAAAAAAAAAAAAAGCCTCTCAAACAATACTGGGCATAGGAGTCATCTGAGAGCCTTGTTAAAATAGGGGTTCTAACTCAGCGAGTCGGGTACAGGTGGCCAATGGACCACACTGAGCTTTCAAAGGCTGCATGGCTGCATGCACATCAAGGCAAGGATGGTCACAAGCAGCTACCAACCACTGGGACAGCAAGCATATGCTTTCTTTCTCCAGAGGCCATCATACAAATAAAAAAATCACTGTCAAAGATTGACCTACTTATTATTTTTCAGTGTCTAATGACTTTCACCAATGGAGGAGAAATCCCACAGACTATCTTGCTAATGTTAGTTAGCTGGGAGAGAGAGGATTATGTTCAAGTAAATGAAAGCAATGACGTACCTTCAAAAGTATAAGGGATGAAAATGAGGTATTCAGTCAGGTAAAGACCAGCATTATAAAATTATAAATTCTTCTTAGGAATAGTCAGTCCATGGATAACAAAGGAACTCCTGTAGCACCCCAATTTAAGATCAGTCATTCTATAACTCCTCATGGTTTTAAGGCACCATAAAAGAGGCTGAAAAAACATGGCTTCCTGATTTACAGTTGATGCTAAGGGACAAGGAGTCATAGCACAACAACAAACGGAGCCATCAGGGGTTGAAAGGAAACTATCTCTGGTAGGGAGGCAAAGCCATGGTTAAACCACTTCTAGTTTGTAATCCCAGATACCTGATGGGGTTAGGCAGGAGGATCACAAGTTCAAGATCTTCCCCAGGAAACTTAGCAAGACCTTGTCTCAAAGTTTTAAAAAGTGGTGAAGATATAGCTCAATGGGAGTGCTTGCCTAGCATGTGTGAGGCCCTGGGTTCAATCCCCAGTACTAAAAAAGGGGTCAGGAATCTTCTCTGCACTTCCTGATTTAAGAGACAGGACTAGAGGCTGGGAGGTGGCTCAGTGGTAGGGCATTCAGCTAACATGTGTTGGCCTGGATTCAACCTGCAGTGCCACGAGAAAAGGAGGGGGAGTGAGATACAGAGAAAGAATGTATCTGAAAGACAAAACTGTGCTATTCCACAAAACTCTCATTAGAGGAACAACAGGATAAAATATTTGAAATTAGAACTTCTATACAAAATTCATGCTATTTATTCATTGTATAGAAAGGAATTGATGGGACTGAATAACACTAGGAAAAGCTAACAAGTCAATCTATAGATTGTCACATGGCCTTTAAATTGTACTTTCTATGGCTAACTTATTCAGAGATATGCTTTCTTTCAAACTAAATAATCCTTAGAGAACAGTGCCAACTGCACCAAAATGTTAGACAAACATCCATATCATCATATCATAAATTTGCTACCAGATTTGCCATGGCCCGTGATGAATCAGTCAAGGGTGACTCTGAAAGGAGAGCGCTCCGCCTACATACAGCACTCCCAACCTCAACAGGGGGTAGGTCTCTTACCAGCTTCTTTCTGGAGGTTCCTTTCTATGTGAGACACACAGGACGCACAGGTCATGCCTTTGATCTGGAGAAAGCACTTCTGCGAGGCGGAGGCTGTTTTGGTGGATTGTGGGCTATGTGATGAGGAGCCAGGGCTGGGCTGCCTCAGGGCCCTGCTGCCTTGGGGAGCCACTTCAGGCACAGCGCCAGGTGGGTCACCCGGAGTTTGCAGCATGGCATTCTCAGCAGTGTGGTTGTCAGCATGGTTGATCGAATAGTTTTCTAGAACAAAATATCAGAAATAAATCATAAGACCAAATAGTAATTTGTTTTTCAAAGCAAAAATTCAAGCCTGACAATATTCACATTAAAAGCTCCTACAGAGATGAGTTGAGGGTTGGCATTTCTGTCTCTGTCTCTGCTTCTCCACAGTCAGAAACAGAGAGAGGCACACAATTAGAGAAACACAAAAACACGAGTGCTTTAAGGATGATTGTTCCGGGCAGGCAAAGGCTCAAAAAGACAATGATATTAACAGTAACCCACCAGGCATTCTACTACACACTTTATACGCAGGACCTGCTCTAGTCCTTAAAATAGCCCAATATGGTAAATGCTATTATCCCCATTTATGGACAAAAAAATGAATTACGAGAAGTTAACAGATATCATTTGAAGACAACATTATGCAATACAGCAGCCTTTATTGAATTTTTATTGCTTTGTTTGGTTAAGTTTTGTATTGTTTCTGGGTTTAGTTTTTTTTTTTTTTTTTTTTTTTTACTATTTTGTATTTTCTTTAGATAATTAAAACAATATAAATACAATTATATAACTGTAGACCAGTGGCATTTTAAAGCTACTTTGCAACTGAATAATTTTATTTCTCTTTGAATCAACTACCTTTAAAGCAATTTTTAGCAGTTCTATGCTTTTATCTTATTTATTTCTATATATAGTTAACAGCTGAAAGACCACAATGTATTACCTTACAGTCCCATAGTTACACCTCCACGACTTCCCAGGCTGAAATCAAGGTGACAGGAGTGCTGCATCCTTTAGAGACACTGGAGGAAAATAGGTTGCCTTGTCTTTTCCAGCATCTAAAGGTCACCTGCATTCCTAGGTTCATGATTTCATTCCAGCTTCAAAGTCAGCAACCTTCTGTCTCTCTTTAGCTATCCTACTTCTCCAGTTCAGCCAGGAAAGGTTCTCCACTTTGAATGATGATAGGATGCAACTGGATCCACTTGGTTAATTTAGCATCTCTCTACCTCAAGATTTACTCCTTTCACCCTGTCTGTATGGTGTGATCCAAAAGTATGGTGAATGTTTGTATTTTTTTAAAATTTGTTACAGTAAAAGACACACTGCCATTAATCCCCAGCAGAATGCTGCTCCTTGACACACTTAGCACGTTGCCTGACATTTCGGAGGCAGTTCTGGAAGTCCTCTTTCTTAAGTGTCTGTAGTCGTGGCCTCCTGGACATTCTGCAACAACTCAAACAATTCATGGTGATTGTAACTTTGGGAAAGAGCCAGGAGTCTCACAGTGTCAGAGCCAGTAACTAGGCGGAGAAGGACACGCTATAATATTCTTTGAATGGTATTTGGCAGCAGCATTCACTGTATTTACACACCTCATAAAGACATGAAGGAGAGCTTCTAGAACTGCTGTAGGAGGTGGCAAGAACAATGCAATAAGTGTGTCAAGATGAGCGAGAGTATTTGGAGGGGGGTTAATGGCAACATGTCTTATTATCATACTTTTTAAAAATTTAAACATTTACACTATATTTTTTGCGCAGTCCTCGTACAAAGTCCCCTTGGCCATGTGAGGCAACTTATTCACAGCTTGCAGGAACTAGGGTGAGGAAACTTGGGCTTGCTTCCTGCCTGCCCATAAATACTACCATTAAAGTCAATCTACAGACATTTCACTGCTCTAGAAGCCCACACTATTTTGATAACCCAAAATACATAGCTTTCAAAGCATATAGAAAAGATAACTGTCATTTAATAATGGACTGCCATTCAGAAGACAGAAAAACTGGCAGTGACCTATGCAGCAGTATCTTCTGGGGGCTGGGAGACAGCTCAGTAGAATAAGCACTTGCCTGGCAAGCACAAGGGCCTGAGTTCAATCCCCAGTTCCACCAAAACAAAACAAAACAAAACAAACCAATATCTTCTGAATTCTACGTCTTTCTTCAGAATGAATCTCATACCAGGATGCTTAGTTCGAGGGGCACAGCATAAACTACCTCCCTCCCTTGAGGACTGCCAGTAGCAGCCCTTCCATAAAGCCCGCTTCTTCGAGGTTCATCTCCGAGGTTTCCTCCCCACGGCCCAGCTGGCTTTCCTGCTCTTTGGCCCCAGTGCAAGGAGCTCCCTGCAGCAGTCACCCCACAGAGCTGCTCTGGGCTCCTCGCGGCCCATTCCTTTCTCCTCTTCTCTTTCCCAAATGCCGACCACACAGTGGGAGCCGGTGAGTCCGAGGAGACGTGAGACCCACATTGCAGGACTCTCCACCAGGAGTTCCTAATCAATCCGGAGAAATGGATCAAATACAAATAATACCTTTTATCATTTAAGTGGTTATAACTATTACTTACTAGCACCATAATGGTTTGTTCTAGATTAAATTTATCAGATAAAATATAGAATGTCCAATTAAATTTTAATTTCAGATGAACAAAAATAATTTTCCAGTGTACACAAGTACACTTAATTTTTAATGTAAGTACATATGTATACATACATATACTCAATGCTTACATACTGAATCAGTTTATCTGAAATTCAAATTCAAGTAGGTAGCATAATGTTTTATTTGCTCAATATGATACCCTCTTGAGCTAAATATAATTCTGGGCAATAAAAATTACTTCTAGGTTTACTCAGTCAACTCCACCCCTCTCATAATGCTCAATTTTTTTTCCTGCCAATAGTCTAACTGTACCGTTGAAAGACTGTAACCCTCTCACAAAAACAGCAGATATTAACCTCATATTGTATTTCTCATCTTTTGAGTACAGGATTTACTGTTCTATTGTGTTTTCCTTACTGATTTTGGCTTTTATTCCTTCCTAGGGTTGGTGAAGGAAGGACATCTCCTTCTTAATACTTGATACAAAAGGAAAAAGAATGTGGCCAACCCACTTGAGACTTACCCAGTCTCTTCAATGGATGGTGTGCTGCTGACAGAAGGACCCAGAAAAGTATCTCAATAGTGCAAACTTCTCAAGGACACAAAGTTTTATCTTGGCCAAAGGAAACATGGTGTGGGAAACCAACTCCATCAGCCCTGGATGCTGCCGGGGCCTTGGTCTATGGGACCACAAACAAGTCTTCCTGAGCTAGGTGCCTAAACCTGCTACAGTGACTCCAGCCTCATGGTTCTGTGGCCACCACTTCTATTGTTGTGTAGATTCACAAGACACACAAGGCTGGATGATACGTGGTGAAAATATTAATACCCACAGAGCTGCCCCTCACCAAATATGCCTGAAAGTAATCCAGTCTCAGTACTCCCAGCCACTTAGGAGGTGAAAGCAGGAGGAACATGTTATTATGGACAGCTAAGTTAGGTAGAAATATTACAGGCAGTTAGGCCAGGCTAGGCCCCCAAGTCAGTCAGTGCTGAAGAAGATGAGAACACATCAAACTGTGGCTTTTAAGGTTAAAGTCACAATGGACAGATCTACATACTTCCCCAAGATTTTGAGATTTCCTATACAAATAAACCGATATCTCATTAGGGGTGGGTCATCCTCTCTCATCCACTAAGAGCATGACTAAAACAACTAAGATGCCTAACACTCCGACTAAAGAAAAGACTAGGACTATAGATTATCGATCCAGGTTAATGATGCCATCCATGAGTTCTTGTGACTACTGGATCAGTATTACGCAAGTGACTATACTTGTAATCCTACTGGTTGACTCTAGTTTTGACCCATGTTGTGTCTACTTCATGATTTTGCTCTATAAAACTTGCTTTGAGAAGTAGGCTCCTTGGCAACCCATTCTGGACCCTTCCTGTCTGTCAGGAGCTATTCTTATTTCCCATTCTTTTTCCGTAACAGATTTTCCTACTTTTAACTTCTATTGTTCCTTATAATTCATTCTTTGACTTCAGGGAACACAAAATAGGCATATCGCACATTTAGCGGGTTGGGAGTTACATTTATTTCCTCTGTACCTTTTGGTGTTAGAACAGCCTGGGCTCTACAATAAGACCATCTCTTCAGCCTCTCTGGAATACCCCTACCTATCCCTTTCTAAGTCCCTGTCTACCCTTCCCTGATCTATGCTGCTGGTGGTTTTCTTGCCCTCATCACAGTACAAGCTAAGCTCCCACTTTTTCCACATCCTGAAGCAGCTGCTGAGGCCTCCAATAGCCTCGCCGCAGCTCACCCTGACAGACTCTTCACACCTTTGTCTCTGTGCACCTCAGGTTACCTTTAGGAGGCTACTCTCTCCTGCAGCCACTATCTGGGAGGTTATGCTCTTGTGTGCTTCCTCCTCACCCAGCTTCTTTGCCTTCCCCTGCTACTCTGCTACTTCTGCCTTACCTGGGTGCCTACACTCATGTCTGCATCGCTAGCCCACAATGTCCTCCAGCAGCTGGGTGAGCTTGGCCTCTCTGCCAGGGTTCAGCCTCCTGAGCCTGTGCTTTCTGTCTTTGACCTCCACACCTACCCCAACTTCCTGAGCCCAGAACCAGTCTTCTGCACTGCTCAGATCCCCCTGAGCTCCTCTACAGCTTCCCCAATGCACCACCTCTCTGGGGTGTAGGCCATTTCTTCTGCTCTCAGCATTCCTGGTCCTCCCCTCCCACATCTCATTCTCATGAACTTGATGGAGCAAAAGAGCTCCATTTTAAAAGTCACTTAAACTTCAGGCGAATCTACTCCTTACTTACCCCTTTTTCTCTTAGTTAACCATAAAACCCACAAAGGAGAACAAATCACCAAGCTAAGGAGCAGACAGTTAAAACAAATTGTAGGTAAGTTAACATTTCACTGTACTAACAAACCTCTGGGAAATGTAAACCTTGTGATATTTTTGTAAAATTCCAAAATGAGGTACTGTAGTTACCATGGCTACTTATAAATGTATAAAAACCCACTCTGAAATTCTGTGGTGGTGGACATTCCGATTGTGCATCAGACTATCATCCTGCTGGCAATAAAGGCCTCATTTGTTCCCATTCTTGGTCACTCGTGAGGATTTATCTTGCTGAATTTTGCTACAACAAACCCACCTGAAAAGGCTAAGGCCTGGCCTCACACAGGCCTCATCTTGCTAAACAATGATGGTTTACTCCTCCCTTTCCCCATGACGACATAAGTTTGAAGGACAGATTGTCTTTCCCTTGCATTATCCCCACAGTTAGCACAGGCGCTGGCTTATGGAACAGTGATGCTGCACTGCCGAGTAAGAGAAAGAAAATAGAAAACAAGCCAGAAAATGAGCAGAAGGAGGAAGCAGAGGAAGATGAAGGGTAAGAGGAGGAAGAGGGATGGCTATTACTTGCTTTGTGAAGACTGTCCTACCCCTTTCCCAGCCCTCTACCCTTCCAACCACCAAATGGGGAAAGGGAAAGCGTGGTTAAATCATGCCCTGCCCTCCCACTTAAACAAAATGGTCTCTGGGTCTTGAGACTAAGATTCTGTTGGTTTTGGGATTTTGTTCTGCTTAGCAGAGAAACCATCAGAGAAAATAAGAATGGTTCCTTTGGTCAGAAAAGGGCCTGATGCTATCACAGTGGTCTTTTATAAACAATCAGAGTTCTTTCCAGAAAAGAGGCTCAAATCCAAAAAAGTTTAGCACTTGGTGCCAGCTACATAAGAGGCAATTATGTTCCTCCATCCTTACAGTTTTTACGGGTATCAAAAGGTAACAGAATCTTGTTAACTGTCGCCATGTGAGACAGGGAGTAGAGCTCATCTATCCAACCACTCAGGTGCTCTGTTATAAGACACCAAGACCTGACCTGGATGTGCTTCAAACTGCATCAAATACATACCAGGAACCACGGAAGCTTCAAATCCCATATCTTCTACAGCAGCTCGAAGTTCTTCAGGGCTAATTACAGAAGGGTCATAAAGAACTGTCGCAGTACCTCCAGCCAAAGAGACCGATATTTGCTGTACCCCTTCCCGCCGGGAAAGTACACCTTCGATGGACTGCGGACAGGACGCACAGGTCATGCCAGTGATGCTGAGCACTAAAGAGCTACCTGGGCCCTGCAACTGGCTTCTCTCAGGAGAGCCAGGGGCATGACAACTGGAAGACTCACCACCTGCTCTACCTCTTGCTCCACCAGGAAGAGAAACTCTAAAGTTCCCAGGTGGAAGTGCCTCGATGGCCCTCTGTAGGGACACAGGTGTGACACAAGAAGGATCATACTGTACTTCGGCAGTTTTGTTCTCCAGTGATACTTGAATATGTTGAACCCCTGGGAGTTGGCTTAAATTTCCTTCAATATTCAAGACACAAGACTGACAGTGCATTCCCTCTATTCCTAGTTGCACAGTAGCCATGTGGCTTCCTTGGTGGCCCAGGGTCTCAGAGTTATTGAGATTCTGGTTAGCAAAAGCTGATGGTCTTTTTGGATTAGCACATTGTAACCGGCCAACGTCAATTGGTCCCAGGCTTAAGGGAGCCACTTTGTTCTTGATGGCAGCTTCAAATCCCATGTCACTGACATGGTCCCTGAGGTCTTCAGGTTGAATAAGATAAGGCTGGTAAGTGACAACTGCTTCTTTGTTGCTGAGTGAAACTCTGACTCTCACAACTCCATGCAGTTTCCGCAGCTTGCCTTCGATGGAGCTCACACAAGACCGGCAGGTCATGCCCTCCACCCGCAGCTTGACCACTGCCTCTTGGGCCGATAAAGTCCTTGAAGGCCAGGAGGCAGCCTTTCCTTCTGCAATGCTGGCCTCAAAACCCATGTCCCCAATTTGGTGGCAAACCTGTTGCAGGCTAATGACTGATGGCACATATTTCACAACTGCATTGCTTTGTTCCAAAGAAACCTTTATGCTCACGATGCCCTTCAAACTAGAAATCCTGCCTTCAATGGACTTAACACAGGATTGGCAAGTCATCCCCAAGATGCTGATGGTGCCGGTGGTCGCTGGAGAAGGGCACATGCTGTCCAGACCCCCTTCATAGCCGACATTGTCAAAGGCAAAACTCTGCTTCATTGCTTGCTTCCAAGGGCGAGCAGGCAAAGAAAGTTTTGAGAAGATCTAAAAGAAAACAAAATAATACTTTTTTATTCTTATACTAAATATTTTCTATAATATTCTTACTTCCTGGGCATTAAGAACATGGGATACAATATCACTACTGTAAAAATAACCCAAGGATGCAAGAACATTAAAATACCATATAGAAAAAGAAAATTAAAGACCTCATGTATAAAATGCATGGGCTACCCAGGCTCCCTTTGGCTCTGACATTCTGTGACTCTATGCCTACAAGTCAACTGCCTGCCTACCCTAGGGAAATGTCTCTCTTTTCCAGTAGACAGGGGAGCCTTCTGAAAGAGAAAAGGAGGGCACGATGTGGCTTTATGCGCAGAACACGACATGGCCAGCCAATGACAGAAAATACAGTACACCAGACAGACCCTCCGTTATAGCTGGTACCTGCAATCCCACATCAGAAATATTACATATTTCAGAAACATGGGAACACGGGCTGGTGAGATAGCTCAGAGGACTAAGCACCTGCTTTGGCAAGCACAGGGACCAGGGTTCAATCCTTTGTTCAGAAAGCTGAGCTGGCTCTGCCTTTGGGGCACCCTGAGATAGTGAATAAATCCAGGCATGGTGGCGCATACGTACAATCCCAGCGCTTTGGAGGCTGAAAATAGGAGGATCACTATGAGTTTGATCTGTGTACTGAGACCCTGTAAGCCTGTACTAAATACATTAAAAAAAGAAAAAGTAAATAAACAAAAGGAAAACTATAATATACATTTGTAGTTTCACAAAGAAAACCATAAGCTATGTTGGGATTGATAATTATAGTTATTTTCTAAAAATTCACTATAACATTTATCACAGCAGGAAAAAAGGGAAATTTTAAATAATTTATGGGAGAGCAATTCAATTGAGTTTCTTGAATTCAATACATATATCGAGATTATCTGAGATATAAATATGTAATATAATTTATGATAAGACATGGAATGATATTAATGTGAAATGATTAATAATAAGAACTGACTGACCACCTCAGAAACATATTCAGACATTTTGAGGGCTGGGGATCCAGCTCAGTGGCACAGCTCCTGCCTGGCAAGCATGAGGTCATGAGTTCAGTTCCCAGGAGCAAAAAAAACCCAACATTTTAAACAGATCAGAAGTTAAAATATGAAAAATAAAAGAAATACTAGAATAAAACATGGGAGAATATCTATTATAATCTCAGAGTGCCAGAGGCTTGAATATAATAAAAAAATAGAAATCCCACAATTATAGAAGATTGATTTTTAAAAAACTGATAAAGATAAATAAGGAAATGAGCCCGTCTGTTTTCTTCCTTGCTTCAGAAATTTCCTTATTTATCTTTATCACAGATTCCTATGTGTCGTCACTACGACACTTCACTGCAGACCCCAAGGGCCACCATCCTGAGGTCTCTACCTGGAAGAAAAACTAACAGAGAAAGGAAAGTTCATCAAAAGAAGAAGTGCCTGGTGGAGTGGGGCCTTGCTTGGGGGCAATATTAGAACACCTTTTAAAATAACAATTCACACCCTATTTAGCCCAGTTCTACCTCTAAGAATTTTACTAGTGAATATATGTATGCATGCAAAGGGAAGCATCCAACAAAGACATGAAATCCTACAAAAGATGGGAAACAACAAATTTCTATCAGTGTCTGGTTAATTAACTTATTGTTGCAATACTACCTGGCTCTTAAAGTAAATAAAGCAGCTCTGTACATCCTAAAAGACTGCTACCTAATACACTGCTCAGAGAAAAATGCAAGGCACAGGCTATACAGTACACGTAGCCTGTGCTTCAGTTATCTGTTGCTGCATGACAAGCTGATTTCAGTGGCTTCCAAGAACGGTTCAGTTTTTAAACTGGGCAAGACCTAGAAAGGAGAGCTCATCTTTGTTCCACATAGTACCATCTGAGCAGCCTGAGAGGGATAGGAGGTTCCACTTCCCAGACTACGGATCCCTTATCACAGGTCTGGCAAATGATGCTGGCAACAGCGGGGGGGGGGGGGGGGGCTGAGTGGAGGCTGTAGGGAGCCCGTCTGTTTTCTTCCTTGTAACTTTACCTTGAGACCAGGTGGAGCTCCCACAGCTGGTGGCCCACAGGTTCTGAAGGGCATGCCACCATAAGAAGTACTTCCAAAGGGCAAGGCTCAACCTGCCAGCACTACTCCGAAGCCCCACTAGCCACACCCAGTCACAGGGCCAAGCGGTCAGCCTGGAAGATATACAGGGGAAGGACTGCAACCAGGCGCAGTGTGTTGAGAGGGTCATCCGAAGCAGCCCTTCACAGTATGCTTCTGTGTGAAATGAGAGACTACAATAAAATGGCTGTCTCTGAGACAATGTGTAAGAAGCCAGCACTATGTTTGGGAAGGAACAGGAGACTGAAAAGGGTCAGGGGGCTGATGTACAAGGAAAAGGAAGATCCTTTTCATGGTATATGTTAGTACACAATGCATATGCATTATAAAATTCTAAACAATAATTTTAAAATCAAGATAAAATATATGTTTATAACAGCACAAAGGAGATCCAGAACAGCAACTTAGTGGTAGTTGGTATTAACTAAATATCAATTTAATTGAAAAGGAAGCAAAGATGGACAAACAACTAAGAATATGTGTAAGTATATTGCCTTTCACCTACTGTCTTAGAAATAGAAATTGTCTCCTTATACTAAGATATAACCCTCAACCATCTAGTCGGTTGAATTTAGCATGTCTTGATTCCTACTCTAGCTATAACTTACCAAAAACCAAACCACATCAATCCCCAGTATGGCAAAAAAAAAAAAAAGTGAATCTCAAAAAACAAACCGCAATGTTGGTTTTTAATCTATGGAATGTTGATTCTAGGTTCCTACCAAAAGGCTACAAAGAAGCTATTTATCTACAACAAACACTGTTCAGAAGGCCCCTCTTTCTGGACAGGCAGGTTTCTAATGACAGGGAGTCAAGGAAGCAAAGCTTTGCACGTAATACTTCTTTATCAAACACTATCTGCTGGTAAGGAACAATATCTTGGTGTCCGGTGCCTGAGTAGTTTTTAAATGTAGACATACTTCATATCTATGCTTTTAATTCAGTTCTTCAATAAAGATAACTTTGACTGTCCTGCTTCAAGGTTGTATATGGTGAGATTTTTGGACTTATGTGCAAACATGAGAAGCATAGAATTCTTTATCCTATTTTTAAAATATAATCTAATTTTTAAATGTTTTTTTTTCTCATATTATGTAGGGACTTAAAGTTCAACATATCAATACTTGATGAAAAATACCTGTTCCTTATTATGCCTAAGATGTTTGAAATGCAGTGAGATAGTGAGGTTAAGATTGACAGCCTAAATCGTTTGATAATAACAATAAGCTTTTCTTCTGGATGGGTAACAACCTAAGTTTGCAGACCAAAATTAGAGAAAAAGGAGGGCTACAAGGAAAGCCAACATTTTGACCCTAGCCTTCTAAGGTCAATTAAGACTCAGGACATATGAGAACTTGTACTGTAACGTCATGTACCTCGGTAGTGTCCCAAATTTTCTGATCAAGAAGATTATGGGGCCAAAGAGGAAAGTGATCGATGATGTAGAGTGTGCCTAAGGAGAGTCACATGGGGAGAAGACACTCTCTCAGGCTTTCACAGAGAGCACATTGGCCAAGCATTGGCCGTGACTCATCCACATGGCTGACACTGACAAAGGTTCTACAATCTGAGGTACAGGATCTCAGAATAAATCCTGAGGGCATTTCACTGACCTTCTCAGACCCAAAAGCTACAACTCTTGTTGCACAGGTCCTGCTTTACCTTGGTCTTAACCATCCAGTAGAAAAGTATGAAGACGAAATATAGGAAGTAAAGCCATGTTGTTATGTTGAGCTGTGGGGGACTCAGGTCAATAATTTCTGACATTGCCAGTTAAACAGAAGACCCAATACTATTATGGGCTACTGGACTCTTTTAGAATATTTTGCTGAGTTTACACACCTATAATATTCAACAACGGGACTTAAAAAAATTGGGATATAACTATGAATGTCCATTTTGTATCTGTGTATTCAAAGTGGTTCGGATAGATACTTGCATTCTCTTAATGAATAGAATGATTTGTTCTAATGGTGTTTGTAAATAGGATCACAAGTCTGCATCTTGTACAGCAATTAACCACTAAGAAGAATATATGCAGTGTATTATTTGTTGAAACTGTACTTTTGATTTGATTTGAAACTGTCTCATTGCTATATGTTTATCAATAAAATTTTGAAAAGAAAAAAAAATAAAGATAACTTTGGGGGAGGATAAAAACCTCCCAATGAGTTTACCATAGAACAAACACACTTGAATGAAGAACTTACCAGACTGACACAGGGTTGGACAGCGTGCCCAGGGAAAGCGTGGCGGAAGCTCTCCCTGCGCCTCAGCCCCACTAAAGTCTAGCTCCCTGAGAATATCTGGGATTCTTTGCACAGGCCCAGAGCCAGGCTGGAGAAGAACTTTTGCTAACCTTTGATTTTGTAATAAACTATTAGTAAGAGAGCAGGGTTAGGATAGGAGGAACTAGAAATCCATGAGGCCACAGAGGGGGACCCAAACATGATGATTTTCTTTTCTTTTTAATTTTTTTTGGCGGAACCGGCAATTAAACTCAGGACCTTGCACTTGCCAGGGAAGCGCCTATTCCACTGAGCCATCTCCACGGCCCTGAACATGATGATTTTCATTCACACTACCTTTCTTGGCACAAATGACAAGTCACTTGGCATTTGCTGAGTGCCAGGGCTTTCAGTCTGGGGTGCAGCAGACCCACAGCTCTGGGCACAAGAAGACGGCACATCGTGGCAGGGAGTGCATGGCAGAGCAGGCCTAGTTTGCTGGTGGGTAATCTCCATCCCTTCTGAGGTCACAGAGGTCTTTTGTGCTGACTCTTGTGATATGAGAACAGTGGACCAGCCACTGAAACTGCCTCCAAGGTTTACCCAAGGCCACAAACAAACTGAAGCTCCACAACTGGGAT